ACAATGTCTCAACTTTCTGAAGGAGGTATCACTACCCTGATTCAACATCCTTCATTGTCTGGTATGTCAACAGGAAATTTGAAGCTTGGTTGTGGCATTGCTCTTCTATATTATGGTAACTAATCTCAAGTGAATTGCACACCCCCCTACACACACACACACACACACACACACACACGCACACACTCTTCCAGAAGGCTAGTGTCAGAGCTGCTGCTTTGCTCTACATGACCTTGTCTTTAATCACAGTTGATCACTTTACTGAATCAGGACCAATGAGAGTCTTTCCCGGGGTTTTAACTTGAGATTCAGAGAGCCAAGGTTTATCCACTTATTCTTTCCTTACAATTTGGCTACCTTGTTTTCTACTATGGGAGAAAGCTTATCTGTGGAGAGGGAGAATAAAACAGAATGCATAAGGAAACTTAAGTATGATATAGGGAGACAGTCCTGATAATATTCAAGTCTAAGTACTTTGGAATATCCTAGCAGCTCTGGTCCCATCTTATGGGGTCAGGAGCAAAGTGGTAAGGATACTCTTAGTATTAGTAGGGGTACGTTGATCATTTGCTTTGTAAAATGATTTCTCTTTACTAAAAAAGAAAAAGTCCCAGTTCATGGAGAACTCTAAATCTATCATGGCTAATGATATCTGAAATGCACCAGATGTGGGAGACTGAATAATGGCTCCCCAAAGATGTCCATGTCCTAATCTCCAGAACATGTAAATATGTTACCTTACATGGACAAAGGGGCTTTGCAGATGTGATTAAGTTAAGCATCTTGAAATCAGGAGATTATCCTGGATTATTTGGGCGAGCCCACTGTAATCACAAGGGTCCTTACAAGAGAAACTGGTAAGAGGAAGGAGAGAGAGAAGGAGGGAGATGCGATGACAGAAGCAAAGGTCAGAGTGATGCAATTGCTGGCTTCAAAGATGGAGGAATGGCGCCATGTATGAAAGAATGCAGGTGGCTTTTACAAGCTGGAAATGGCAAGGAAAGGGATTCTCCCCTAGAGCCTACAGAAGGAATGCAATCTTGTTGGGACCTTGTTTTCAGGTGAGATCCATTTGGACTTCTGACTCCCAGAACCATAAGATAATAAGTATATGCTATTTTAAGCTACTAAATTTATGCTAATTTGTTATATCAGCAATGGGAAACTAATGCACCAGATAAAAACAAAGCACAATTAGGAATTTTTAGTGTTGGCCAGTCCTGTGGTGCTAAGGGCAGGGTTTCCAGTGGCTGAGGATCTAGAAACGACACTCTTGAGTTACCCTCAGTTCAGTTACCCATAATTCCTTGAAAGCAAGTCCTGTTGTCATTGATTCTGTGCCCTTGCATTGACAGGCAGAGGACTTCGGGCTCAGACTTGGCCCTCCTTCACCATTCCTGCTCAGTCAGTCTTTGGGAAGGGAAGCAAGCAATAAAGTCCTCCAAAGACTAAAGACGTTGTTTAGAACTAAGAGCAGAAAGTCACAACAGTCTGAAAAATGAGCTCTCTCATCTTGAGTAGAATGGGCATATTTATCAGGTGAAGAAGACAGCCACCCACAAAGGGAAATTCAACCTCGTAGCTCTACTGTTAACCTCTGTCTGCTCAGGTTCCGTAACTACAGGCTTGTGAACAATTAGGCTGTAATCATTAATGCTCAGTCTTGCATGATCAGCTCCTGTCAGCCCTTCAGTGCAGCCAGGAAAACACCTTAGAACAATTCTTGTTCATAGTTTAATGGAATCTAGTTTCTAAGGAACTTTTTTCTTTTGGTATTTTTGTCAATCTGCTTTCACCTAGGTTTTCAGCTCTGCAAGAGCACACAACTTGTTCAACTGATTGCTCTTCTTGAAGAGTGGGAGACTTTGCTCAGTTTCTTGGGCACCTGTTATCTTTTAAATAGTTGTACAAACAGACATTTTGGAGTGCACACCATAATTGAGTTTTGCAGCATCAAAGCCTTATTTTGGATAGAAAGTGGGCCCATGCTAAAATACAACCTGTGTTCCAGGTAGGATCACGGTGCCTTGTTCTGCTTAGATTATTGTCCCTTACTCCAAGGTGGAAAGACACTCTGTTTTACTTGTGAGTATTTCTCTTCCAGACTGATACTGATGCATAGAAATGGAATGAGGTTGTCTGTACCATGTGACTTAACAGAAAATTAGATACTGCCTTGGGTTGTTAGCTGTGTTCACACATATATGATGTCTCACCCATGTTATGGTGGAAAGCCCATGGGTTCTCTTTTTAAATTTATTTTTAAATGTTTCAAATTTACAGAAAAATCTCAAGAATAATACAAGGAACTCCATAAACACTTTACCCAGATTCACCAATTGTTAGCATTTTGCCACACTTCTTATTTTCTGTCTGTGTGTGTGTACATATATATGTAAAATAAAATGAATAATCATATATAAATATAATATATATAAATATACATAAGATATATACAAAATATATCTTATATTTTTTTCCCTGAGCCATTTGAAAGTAAAAGATGTGGACATCATATCTTTTATTCCTTTTTTTTAAGGGCTTTTATTTGTTTATTGGTGAAGAATATTGGCCCTAAGCTAACATCTGTTGCCAATCTTCTTCTTTTCGCTTGAGGAAGATTGTTGCTAAGCTAACATCTGTGCCAATCTTCCTCTATTTTATGTGGGATGCCACCACAGTGTGGCTTGGTGAGCGGTGCTAGGTCTGTACCCAGGATGCAGGCCTGCAAACCCTGAGTGCCAAAGCGGAGAATGTAAACTTCACCACTATGCCACCGGGCCAGCCCCCATATCTTTTATTCCTATATATTACATTGTGTATTTCCTAAGAACGGAGACATTCTCTTATGTAACTATTTTGGTTATCTATTGCTCTATAACAAACCAATTCCAACTTAATGGTGCAAAACAACAGCTATTTTATATTGCTTATGGATTCTGTGGGTCAGGAATCCAGAGCAAGAACAGTGGAGATGGTTTGTCGCTGCTTCATGCTGTCCAGAGCCTCAATTGGGAAGATTGAAACCTTTGGAGATTTCTTAAACATCTGGAATCTGGAATCACCTGGAGCCTTCTTCATTCACACATCTGGTATCTGGGCTGGGATATTTCAAAATCTGGACTAAGCTGTGACTGTTCACCAGGGCCCTGACACATGGCCTCTTTATGTGGCTTGCGTTTCCTCACCATATGGTGGCCTCAGGGTTGTCAGATTTCTATCATGGCAGCTCAGGGCATGAAGAGCAAGTGTTTCTGTGAACAAAGTGAAAGCTTCAAGGCTTTTTTGACATCCTCAGAAGTCACATACCATCACTTTTGCTCTACTTCATTAGTGGAAGCAGTAAGAAGCCTGCCAAGATTCAAGTGGTGGGGAACTAGAACCCACATCTCAGTGGAAGAATGTCAGATAATTTGCAGCCATCTTTATAACCACAGTATCATTCTAAAACCAATAAATTTAACATTGATACTGTACAGTTAGCCCCTGTGGTCTTGAGTTAGACTGGCCAGGTTTGAATTATGTCTCTGCTTTTTACAAGATATATAACATTTGGTGAGTAACTCTGGTCTCTGACCTTTAGTATCCTCATCTCTACGTGAGGCCTGTAATATCTATGTCTCTTAGGGTTGCTGTGAGGCTAAATAAAATAGCTCTGTGGTGAGTCTGGCACCTAGTAGGGCTTGGTAAGCTGTAGGTCTCCCTTTCACCACAGAGAATTAAACAAGGCACTGACAACAGGCCTACAGTTATTACTGGTTCAGTGGGAAGCTTTGGAGGTGACTTTGGCATTCTAAGAAATAATGAAGAAATTCTTTATAAGCTTAAATTGTTGCCTTATAAGGTTCCATTTCTGAAGGTTCCTCTTTCCTTTGTTAGATAAAAGATAAGTATTTTCAATCAGGAGTGGGAATTCTCCATTTTTTGTAAACAAGGTATAGTCATTTTAAAAGAAAAACATGCTATCAATCTATCAACATCATGGAAATACAAACTGCAAGAACATGACTCATTTCTGAATCAGGATATCTTTGCCTATGAGTAGTTGAAAATGCAACTCAAAAATAACAATAGAGAAAAGTTATTATTTTCTAGTAAGAAGGCCAGAAGCATGGACACTCCAGAGTTGGTTAATTCAGGGGCTTAGTGATGTCACAAAGGGTCCAGATTCTATGCCTCTGCTGGAGCCTCTTCCATGTGTTGGCCTAGACCACAAATGGAAATCCTCTCATGGTGGCAAGATGGCTGCAGCAATTTCAAGCATCGCATTCAGACTTGGCAACATTTAGAAGAGATCATCTCTTCCTGTGAACTCTTGAAGAGTGAGAAAGTCCTTCTAAGAAGCCTTCCAAAAGATGCTCCTCACCTCTTGTTCATCAGACTTGCATCACCTACACCATCTAAACCACATGGGGAAGGGAAATGGGACACCCCTGACTGACTTAAACTAATTGCAATTTAATTTTTGGGTCTGGTGTTGGAATTGGGACCAGCCTCTTGTGAAATAGTGGCCATTGACAGGGGCATGAATAGATTTTGGGAGGTGGGGAGTGGGAGGGGTAATAAATAGTACTTGCTACAATATAGTAGTTAGATTTTAAGCTATATCCCAGTGTTAGAAATTGGAACGAAGAATCCATTTTTGTATATATGCATCTTTATAAATGCCTGAAGTTCTTTAGAATGCAGTTTTGATAAGCAATTTATGTGAAATATAATAGGAATAATTTGGTAATCAAAAAATATGAAGCAGATTTAATTAACTTTGAAATGCTTTTTAAAATAGTAAATGTTTCTAACATTTTATAAAACTATCCAAATATAATGAGTTTCTTAGAAAAGCATTCACCATTTTTGCATTTACGTTTCTTTTTAGCACTAGCAGGTAAACTCTCTATACAAGATTTATTTGGTCTTTGTCACTTTAATTTTCCACTAATCAATTTCTCTATTAAATTATGGATGCAATTAAGAATGTATTTAAAAACTAAACTTAATCATTCCCTTTTTCTAATTTTAATTTATTTCTGTATTTTTTCCCAAGCATAGTAATGATTACAGGCCATGTTCAAAGCAATAGCAATTCCTATTTACTCAATAATGCCCATAGAAAGCTGAAAGTGTTCTGGAATGTAATTTGGGGACATGAAAGAGATCAGCATCTAATGTCATCATGTCATTTGTTACACTTATAGACAGACAAGTAGGATAGGTAATAATGTAACAAATAAACCACTCCCAAATCTCAGAAAGGTTTACTTTTTGCTCATGCCACATACCCACAGAAGTTTGACAGAGTTCTCTAGACTAGAGGACTCTGCTCATGTTAGTGACTCAGAGACTCAGGTTGATGGAGCAGCCACCATTTCAAATGTGCCACAGTGAAAGGCGGGCTTTTGGGGAATCTTCATGCCAACAATTACATGTTTTGTCCAGAAGCTAAACATGTACTCCTGCTCACATTTCATTAGTCAGAACCAATTACGTGGTACCCCAACCCACAGGAGCCAAGAAGTATGATCCTACCAGGTCCCTGGGAGACGGAGAGCCAGCCACACTGGTGAGTAGCACTTTTGACAATTGCAAAGATGTATCAGTGTGAATCACTGCCTTTTGGTAGAAGAGGAGACAAGTCCCAAAGCAAGAATTAGTTTTCAGTTGTTATAAACAAAACGGAGATGTTTCAGTTAGGGTGGTGCTTTAGATCCTGGTGTTATTACAAATAACAGCTTCACAGAGGAGACAAATTCCGGTCTCCTGGCTTTGAACTCTGATATGGCTTTACCCTCATGTTTTAGGTAAAATGTAGTCTTTTCCAAATCCACTATGTTGTTCCATCATGCAAGGGTGGTATTAAGCAAGCAATCCTTCGAGTGTTATTTCCAGCTACCCAGTTGAATTTGCTCTTCACTTTCTGTTTATGGATCTTCTGTTCATATTGCTTTGATATCACAGATTGTCAGGTTTTCAATTGTAAACATTGGGTCACCTCCATTTATTTGGCATGAAGGGTGATTCATTCCAAAGAGAACTTAAAACGTTTATGGCTGATGTTGAGCATTGTGGTCACGCCTGCGTGAGCACAGTGAACACGCACATTTCATCAGCTTAGTTAGATGTGGAGTCTGAATCCTCCAGCCATCTCTCTCTCTTGAGCACGCTAAGCAAATCCATGGGCTCCTTAATAAATTGGGCTTCAAGACAAGATTGGCGATAGAGGAAGTGTCTCATGTGGTGGGAAATAAGAGGTGAAGTCCAGTCACTCTTCTCTATCGGCATTAAATGATAACACCCAAGTAGTTGAATGCACATTTTATTCTAGGCTCTTTAGTAGTTGCAATATATATATATTGCCAATCCTCAGAACAAATAGAATGAGTTGACTGGTATTGTCCCTATTTTCACAAGAGGAAACTGAGTCTCAGAAGAACTCAGTCCATGTTCAAACAGCTACTCAGTATCTCCAACTGTTATCAAACTTTGAGAATTTAGGCTCAATTTTATTTTGTTAAACTGTCCAGTTTTTTTATTTCCTAAGGATGTTATCGGTACCTGTAAGTTTTTAATAGTAACTCAATGCTTTCTATTTTGTGTAATACTGGTTTAAGTATACCTTTAAAATCTGCCCAGTATACCATAAACCTCTCCAAAAATCTCTGCATGATTATAGACCTAACTCTCGTGGCTTAGCAGGTATTCAGAAAATGCTTGTGAATGAATGAATGAATGCATGTGAGGCTTACATGGCTGGCTGAAAGCTACTACCTGCCTCGTGTGGGCAGGTCTAGACCAATGAGGCTGGCTTGAACTCCAAGGCCAATTTGTCATCAGTGTGTCTATACAAGCAGAATTAGCTATCTGTTCTTTTCACCTAAGTAGAAGCAAAAATTTTTAGGATGAGTTTTCATGCCCAATTATTCAGAAAAAATGCCTGCTGATTGTAGAAAATCTAGAAGTACAGAAAAATATAAATAAGGAAATGAAAATAACTCTAAATTCCAGAGATTTGTTTTCCCAATCGTTGTTTTTAAAGGCTTTCATACACACACAATTTACATAGCTGTAATTATATATAGTATAGTAGCCTGGTTTGTCATCTTTTATTATGTCCTTTCCTATCTTTTTTTAAAAGATGCTTGTCAGTGGTCTCATACTGTCCCATCATATGGAGGGGCCATAATTTATTATTGGACATTTAGACTCTGTCATTTTTTGCTATTAAAAATAATGTCGTGATGAACATCTTTCTATATAAATCTTTGTGAGCATGACTTTCAAGGCACCATCTGTTCCTTGGAGTCCCTTGATTGGTGACACATACCTCTACTAACTGACATTTGACACGTGGAACCGAAGCTGTGCAGCTAGAACTTGTCAAGAAGACAAATAGGATAGCAGTGGCCTGTCTCACTCTCATGAAATAAAATGGATACAAGCATAATTTTGCAGGCCATTTGTTTGGTTAGAAGATTGATGCCTCATTGATTCCACACACAACGTATTCCAAAAGAATGAAGGTGACCTTAGAGAGAGCCAGCCATTTCGAATCCAATTAATCAAGCTTCAGGGTATTTGGTGCCCAACACCAACTGGAGACATCATGGTCTGTGAGATTCTCATTACTCAGAATTTGAATTGAGGAAGGGATGTGGATTAGGTTTAGCTTGTGGCTGCTCTTCTGGGTATAACAGAAGAGCTCAATCTTTAAAACTAAAGAAAGGTGATTGTGGGAGTTGCAGGCTTTTGTAGAAGGAGAAAAAAACAGTAACATATTCTAAAATTTAGAGAGCTTTACTAAAGTCTGCCAAAAAGAGGAACTCTTTAGTTAAACTTGAATGTCACCTCACCAGAGGACTGGAATTTTAAAATCATAGTCTTAGAGCTCTGCTCCTAGGATCTGTGAGATAAATAGCATTCTATCTATAAAATTCTTTAAATGGAGGTCTCATTTATTTTGTCAATATCTGGCAGAATCAACAAAAATTACAATCCATATTTAAAAAAAAGACCTGAATTGGTTTCCAGTTACTTAAGCTATAAGCATGAATGGTTGGTATTCATCTCTGGTAGCCCAAGAGGATAAAGCTGTTACCTCTCATCTAGAATTTATTTAATCTTCTAGGACAGCGTTAGAGATTCTAGGTCCAAATTCCAGGTATTTAATATGTTTCAGGTTTGCTCTCTGCTTCATGATGACAATTTTATCACTAGCTCTTAACACTTGTACTAAATTGCTGTATTAATATTAATATCAGAGTGAAAAATTCCACTGGTAAATGGAATGCAAATCAGCCTAATGCAAACTTTAATGGATTAGCGCACTCAAAAAATCCTTTGAAACAAAGGTAACTAAAGTGGCAAAAAGACTAACTAATCACCATTAAAAGGGAAGATTGCTACAAGTAAAAGAATAAAACACTTTAAAGCAAGCATGACTGATTTTAATCAAACAATATGAGTGTAATAGCTGGTATAAACCTTCGATTATATTATGGGGTGCAAAAAGAAAACATTTTGTTTTCCCCAATCACAGTGCTATAGGTTAAACTGTGTCTGCAAAAAAAAGATACATTAAAGTCCAAAACCCTGGTACCTGTGAATGTGACTTGATTTAGAAATAGGGTCTGTGCAGATGTAATCCAAGTAAGATGAGGCCATTAGAGTGGGCCTGAGCCGACATGAGTGCTGTCCTCACAAGACAATGCAAATTTGGGTAGACAGATGTGCACAGAAGGAAGACGATGAAGACAGCCAAGTGATTATGGAGGCGGAGACTGGAGTGATGCATCTCCAAGCCAAGGAATGCCAAGGATTTCTGACAAACGCCAAAACCCAGAAAAGGCAAAGAAGAATTCTATCCCACAGATTTCCGAGAACATGGCACTGCTGACACATTAATTTCAGATTTCTTCACTGTGAGACAATATATTTCCTTGTTTTAAGTCATGCAGTTTGTGGTACTTTGTTATGTCAGTCCTAGAAAACTAATGCCATGCTCACAGCTTTCACTATGTTCTGCCAAATTCCGGTTTTCTCATGCTTCATGTCTGGGACAGGCCATGTAGATTTCTGGTCAGTTTCTGTTTTCAAAAGTTGGTCCAGTTTAAGTCTCTACTGTCATATCCAATTTACATCTTATCTCTTTCTCCGCCTCCAGGGTCAGCCAGGCTTGTGGATCTGAAGACGTGGGGTCTGGAGGGTACCAGGGTTGCTCTTGTCTGTTTATAACCCCTCTGGCATCAGAGAAGTGATGGGGAGGAGCATGCCTCATTCTAGGACACTCCCCTCCCCTTGATCTGCTGGGTCTGGCTGTCTGGTATTGGAAGCAAGGAAGTGGACCCAGAAGAGATGGCAGGAGTTATTTGATGTAATAAACAGTGACGGAGCATCACCTCTGGACTTGTTCTTACTAAATCTGGTTCTATGTTATTGGTGGCTCCTGTGTTTCTTGGGGTGGTGTTTTGGTTTACCCCTACCCACTCTGTCCCCCAGAACTCCCTGTGAGAGAGGCAGCTGTGGCTCCTTTTGGTACTTTCCATAGGTTTATGTTCAAGACTCAGGATGGCCTCAGAGCTCCTGCCTTTCCTCTTCTCTGTATTCCTTCCTGCTGAGCCAGCAGTACCAAAGTTCTCCATTCCTTCCCTATGCCTTGGGATTCAGATAGAGCAAGGGCTGCACCCAGTCATGCCACACCACTCCCTGCTATGAAAATGGTGCAGGCTTCTCTTGTAAGCATCCTGCCCTCAGCACTCGCTAGGCAGGAAGTGGTCTTGTGCTCATGTAAGGGAGAACTCCACCAGTGGTATGGATCCACATCTCTGGGAACTCCTCCAGCGCCCTGCTCACCAGCGGCAGCTCTAAGATTCCACAGCATCCAGCCAGCGAGGGCAGGACCATATATCCTTGCGACCCCACACCCTACAAATGATTCTCTCGGGGCTTCAGTTGCCTAGCTTCAGTGGGTACTTTCAGCATCATCCTCCTCTTCACCAACGGGAGGAAAAGCACAGGAGAGGAGGAGGACTTTCACTATGAGCACTGCATTCATGTGGCTGCAGATCCCCATGGCTCCCCTCCCTCTGCCCATAGTCCTGCTGTATAGCCTGGAGAGGTGTGGGGCTGGTGTGAGAGTTGGGTACAGCAGTTCTGAGGAAAGTTCCTTGAGTCAGTTGTTAGTGGCTTTCCTTAGGATGTGAGAGTATTTAATTCCTTTTTGCCCTCTATCTGGGGTCTTGGGAGTGCCAAAGGCTTGAGGCTTAAAAGTGTGGTCTGTACCACTCCTGTAGTGAGGAGGGAGTGGAGTGGCTTCCCTGGGAAAAAGATAGGTTACAGACTCCTAGAAAAAGAAAAGTTCCCACTCAGTTGCTGTTATACCAGGAAAATATGTTTTCTGTTTCTAGGCTTTTTCCTTTCTCATTCTTCTCCTTTGATATTACAAGATGTTTTAGATTTTGCTAACATCCTTTGATTAAGGAGATCGAAGAGGAGCTGCATTTCCTGTAAAACAGTCTAGTGTGGGTGCCACCCGGGAGCTGTAGCTCACAGCCCCCTTCCATGAGGTGGGAATCCAAATGTAAAACAGTCTAGTGTGGGTGCCACTAGGGAGCTGTAGTTCACAGCCCCCTTTCACGAGGTGGGAATCCAAATGTAAAACAGTCTAGCGTGGGTGCCACCAGGGAGCTGTAGTTCATAGCCCCCTTCCACGAGGTGGGAATCCCAATGAGTTTTAGAGGAAGGGAATGTGTTTCCACTCACCTGCTTAGACATTGGCTGGCTAAGGTTTTGAGATCAATTAGTAATCAGGATTAGCTGGTTGATGATTCCATTTCTAAACTAAGTATTCTCAAATGTGATCCCCTCATGATCATCAGCAGTACTACCTGGAAAGTTGTTAGAAACACAAATTCTCAGGCTCCACCCCAGACCTACTGAACCAGAAACTGGGGGTCAGTCACAGGGATGTGTATTAACAAGAGCTTCAGGTGATTCCGAGCACACTAATATTTGAGAACTGCTCTTTCAAAGAATCTTCTCTTCTCCAATCCAAAACGACAATATGGGCGTCTACTTGACATGGCCTAAGACGAAAGATCTGACTGACTTTAAAAATTATTCCTTCAAAATTATCTTATGATTTTCCATCCATCACACACTTCAGCTTACAAGCTGAATCTTTTTTCTCCTTGCTAAGAAAATGGAATTCCAAAGTTTATTCTTAACTACTTTAAACAGGGTAATTTCCACTTGAGTGCAATCATCCTTAATGTGATGCTTATTACTATGGAATATTTGCTTGCATGAGATAAGGCTTAAGGATAGGATTCACCCTTCCCTGCATTATTTTTCCATACAATTATCACCATCAAACCTACTATATATTTTACCTGCCTGTTTTATTTTTTGTAGATCTTCTTCCACGTGAACGTGAGCTTCACGAGGGCTTTTGTCTGTTTTGTTCACTGCTGACTCCCCAGCACCTGAAACAGTACTTAGCCCATTATAGACATTCCGAAATATTTGCTGAATGAATGCATGAAGGTTCAGTTTCAAGAATGTGTTTTACAAGTTGTTGTAGATTTCCGTGTTTACTAATTCGCTGAAGGAAATTATGGTTTTTGTTCCTATTTCTACTTGTGAGGATGCTTAATACTGCAGGCTTCATAAAGTCCTTGGAAGTTCCATCATTTTAGTGCAACCTGAACAGAGGAATTTGCTAGATTGACGTGAAAGTTATTACCTAGGAGTGTGCTACAGGGGGTCATATGCTGGAACTGGATAGAGGAGGCTAAGACAGGAGAGGTAGGGGAGAGTAATTACATGAAACTAACACAAGAGAATTTGTCAGTAACTTCTGGGCCTGCCAGTCTGTTGTTTGTACAAGAATGCCCTTTTGTAGGGATTATTTTTGGATGGCAAATCTGTTTATCAGTAATTGTGTTAGACCAAACACCTCCCAGGATGCAGTATTTCCACTTTTCTGTTGGCACATCTTACAGCTCCTATTTCACAGATGTTCACTGTTTTCTTACTGGTTGATGATCCCATTTTGACACAGTAGAGTTGGTGTCCACCCTTGAAGCACTGGGGCGGTAGTAGGCAGACACATTTGGAAGTGGGGGCTGCAATGAGAGAGAGAGACGGTGTGACTCACCACAGTGCTTTAGAATTTGATCTCACCTAACTTGTCCCCAGAGTGGTGAGCACCTTGGTGGCAATGAATAAGAAAGCTGGAACACAGGCGATGACTCGAAAGACCCAACCATTGTTGAAAGGAGTGATCTGGATGTAAGAGAGCAGAGTGCACTACTAAGCCAGTAAGATTCAGGAGTTGGGCTGTCTCTGACTCCTCCCTCTCACTCACTGCCCAGATCCAATCGATCCCCAAGTCCTGTCAATCCATTTCCACAATGTCTTCAGTCTGTCCTTTCTGTTCTTTTCTCATTGGCATTGACAGAATACATTTATAGTTATCATTTATTAAGCATGTACTGTGAAACCACACATCATGCCAAACACTTTATATGCTTTATTTCATTTAATCCTTACAGCAAATATATGAACTCGTGTTATCACACTAATTCTACGTGTGAGGAAACTGAGCTCAGAAATTAAGTGATTAGCCCATGGTCCCACAATTAGTAAGTGGTAGAAGCAGGTTTTAAGTCATAAATGACACACAGGCTTGAACTCCTTAACATAACTTACACCACATTTGTTGATTTCTTTCTAGAATATTCCTGGGTTATGCCTGGGAATCTGTATTTTTAATAAGCAGTAAAATTGGGTGCTTCTCTTATGAGGCTTGGTTTCAGAACCATCCAATCATTTCATAATTCACATAAAACTTGTGTTCATGAAATAGTTTTAAAATGATTATTTAGGGGCAAAGTTACCAAAGCCAAGTATATTAAATCAATTTTGAGTAAAGGGATATAGGCTCATTCATAAATACATGCATGTTTTCATCAAAGTTCAAGGTCCTCCACAGTTTGCCCTCGATATCCCTTTGCAACATTATCTTTTCTGCTCTCTCCATTCCAGGTAGATCAATTCTCTCTCTGTTTCCCCAAAAAGCCCCCAAAGGTGGTCAGTTTTTTCCTTTTGTCCATATTATCCTCTTTTTTTTTGCCATACTGATGTGCTCTTTACTACTTTTTCCCTACACGTCCAGTTTCTACAAGTCGCACGTCCTCCATGAACCATTTCATAGCCACTTCACCCCCACACCGATCTTTCCTTTAACTAAACTTTGATGATGTAAATTTGTCAATACTATATCTGACATTTTTATACTTTCTTGTCAGCCAGCTTTTCATATGTCTTTCTCCCAAGACAATTATAAGTGCTCTGTTTGAGAGCTAAGATTCGTCCATCTGTATGTCCCACTCAGCTCTTAACAAGGTGCTCAATTAATTGTGCTTCATCAATTGATTTCAAATTCTGAATTTCGGGGGGGGGGGCGGTATAAGTATCCAAATATAGAAGTGTATCTGATAGATCTGAGATAATTCATGTTGCCAAAATATCTGAGTTGGCCTAAAAAATCAGCAATGATGTCATTAATGAGTAGCTTCTTTTGGGTAGATGTAATTTCTTTCCCATGTGTTTCAACTGATGGGAGAAAAAAGGGAAAGGAAATGGGGAGGTGCTCATATGCATATGCTTCCTGCCCTTGGTGGGAAATACTTAATGAAAATGCATGCATTTCCTTTCTATGCGCTCTGTCAACTGGCTAAAGAAGATTGTAGTTATGGAAAGTCTTGTCCATTGCTGGAAAGGACAGGGTTTGGCAAAGGACAGGAGACTATTTCACCTCTGGAGAGGAAGTCAGTTCCCTAAGCTTCTGGAAAGACCATGGTCACTGCTCTTTTACCATAGTTATGGCTTAAATGCTCTTAGCAAGTTTATTTTCAGACTACCAGCACCCAAAGGCATTTCCCACCATCTCTACCAATTCATCCTCCAACACACAGCTCTCTTGCTTCCAGCCTTATGAAACCCTTCCAGGCCAGAAGATATTTATCTCTCTTACAGCTCTTATCACATTCTGCCTTGCATTAAAGTTCTTCATGCAATTACTTTGTAAAGTTACTTCTCCAAGTACTGTGAACAATTTGAGGATATAAAGGCCCTTTATCTTCAGACCTCTCACCATACTTGTATAGTGACTTCCACATATTGGGTACCACATGGATGTTGGCTGAGTAAATCTTCTCCTCCTGTTGGTTGATGGTGGATATTTTTGAAAGTCAGACAAAACATTTAATAGTCATAAAAATAGGCTCCTTGGGAAGCCATTTGTGTTCTAACATTTGAAAAGTGAACTTCATGTTATTTTGAAGTTTCATTTTAAACTCTTTCGTATTTCATTTTAGATAGGGAGGAAATGAGTAGCAAAGTACACAATGTAATCAAGAACACAATTTAATCAAAGTGACATTCAACTCAAAATTAATAATATCCCAACTTCCCATGAGTGGGTTGGGTATAAAATACATTTTCAGCTTTCTCTCTCTTCCTGAATGCTGTGGTTTGTACACGGATGCCGTTCTCTAGTGCTCCCCGAACAGAATTCTCTGCCCCCTTCACTTTCGCTCACCAATTAGAGGAGGCTGGCAGAGGCACACTATCTCTTTAGGGGGAAAAATACTCTCAGGTTTCTGATTGTGTGCAGAATCAAAGAATATTTTAGATAACTTAACTCTCTTCTTAAGGAAATGTTCATGTTTTAGTTGGATTATCCTAAGACATTCTGCTCACTTGAGCGATATAGGTTAAGTCTTCAAACTTTTTAGTGTTATTTTTTAGACAAACTTAGACTTCTAAAGACAGTGGGATTTAGATAGATGTACAGTAATGGGTGATAGTAAAGACAAATATTTTGATGAAATTGTAAGCTGCAGATTATTTTTCATTCAGATAGATTTGAAAAGAATAATTTGTGGGAAAATATTTAAAAAAGAGAAAGAAAGTCTCTGTAATAGAGGAGTTCCATGAAGACATTTTCTCCATTATACAGAAGGAAGAATGGAAGCTAACAGCAAACACCTCCCACATACTTAGACTACACACCTATTGTGGTATAGACAGGGACCACTGTCATCCTCCCTGTTGACCAAATTCCTTTTATTTTCCATATGTATTTTTGACAGTAATGTCCTTATACTATAATTTGCAGGGAAAAAGTTTATATTTTAAATACAAAATGATATTGCATAATACTTTCAGCTCTTTTCTACCATAAATTATTAGTTCTCAGAGAGATGTCAGCTGGGTAATGATGTTGGTCAGGCAGCCAAAAAATGAATAGTTGTATTTATCTGCAAGATGATTTAATACTGATTAGAAATGGGCAATGTATATCTCAGGCCCTGGTTTGCTGTCTCTTATGTGGAATTGTCTTGTTCAGATATGGAATGAAGTTTGGAAGCCCCAGACATTGACCTCCTGAGTTGCCACCATCAGATGGCCTGTTGACCATGCCACCTATGTCTACCCTCTGTCATGAGTTCAATCCTGCTGCCTGCCAAGGGAGTGGGATCTTGATAATCAACTTTAAGTGGATCAGGAAGGAAGCGGATTTGGGTAATAAGTCCTCTCCCCTTTTCCAGGATCAAACCGAAGATCATTGGGCTGGAATGTGAAAGAAGAATCAAGGGGAACAATAAGGTTTTTATCTTTGTTTTTGCAAAAGTAAGTGGTTTCAGCAAAAGTTAGATGTAACAATTCAAGTTTCTATTGCATACTTTGTGCCTTGATTTAAGATAATTTTTTGAAGATGTGTCACAAGGGAAATCTAGCTGCCTATTTGAGTTCTGTTAAATCCCGATATTCAACCCATATTTATGTATTATATGAAGCTTAGATGGGTTATTTCAGGGTCAAACTTCATCTTAGAGCAAATGTACTGCTGTGAAGTTTCTGCTTCTAAGAAATTCACAAATGAAATTTCAATAGCCAATATGCTTATGGAAAGTGGAAATGTAACGCTACTTCTTGAATATTAAATTGGCAGAGATATAAAGGAGTGATAACTCCAACATTTGTGAGGGTGTGGGATGGCAGTCTTTATTATATGTTGTAGAGAGAAATATAATATGGTCAAAATATTTCTGGAAAGCAGGTTAATACATTGTATCAACAAAGACTATATTTTAAAATAATATTTAACTAGAAATTCCATTTTCTGAGGTATATCTTAAGGAAATAATCTTAGATTATAGATTTATCTGTGATAAATTTGTCTATTACAACACTGTTTATAATAGTAAAATATTGGGAAAAATCTAAATGCCTAAAAGAAGATTGGTTAAATAAATCACAGAATGTCCACATGGGCTTTTGTAGACATGGAAAATTATGTGGCAGAATAATATATGACAACATGGAAATAGTTTCAGAAATAGTTTCATGATATATTAAGCAAAAAGCAGCAATACATAAAATAGAATATAGAGTATGATCTTATTTTATTTTTTTTTTAATTTGTAATATAATCGGGGCCACTCTTGAGGTGTGTGAGGCCCCAGGGAAAAATTTTTTATGTGATGCCTCGCTATATAACCAGTTAAAGTCACTCTGAATTAGTGTCAGCACCATAGTAGCAGTCGAATCTCAAGCAATCTTAAGAAAAAAATACCCTGCTGGCTGGTGGCTCACAGGCTGCTCTCTGGGTATGAAGGTCTAAATCTGAGCCAGGATGACTCTATAGGTGGACTCACAGAGCTCCTTGGAGCATCTGGTTGACCTCATGCATAGCCAGAGAGAGAAGCAGTAGAGGATCAGAGAATGTTCCATGAGGGAACTGAGGCCAAGAGCAACCCTGTTTGAAGTCAGGGTGTCCCGCCTGAATAATACTGTCAGCCTTAGCTGGTCCCAGGCACTGCAAGAGGACTTAAAAAACATTGAGGAAGATACTTCCAGCAATCGGTTCCATGAGGAACCCAGCCCAGGCTCAGGGCGCTCTACCTATGCTGGCCCCAGCTGGTCTCAACTGCCAGAGAAAAACTTAGACAATTTTGATGAAGTTCCTCCAAAGTTGGGGGTGAGAAGAGTGCCTGAAGCACGAGCTTGGGACGAATGCTCTTCTTACTGGGGTCTAAGGGTGGTACGGATTATATATGCATAGAAAAAAGATCAGGAAGATTTACACCAAAATTGTTCGTTATTTCCAATTGTGGGTAGGTTATATTTTTCCTTTCTCTTTAAATAATTTTATAAATTTTTTTACAATGAAAAAGAATTATCTTTCATTAAGGAAGGGTTATTTTTAATAAAGAGTGTATAAATGTAAGTAAGATATATCAGCTGAGATGAAGGTTAAGTGAGAGTATTTCTAGTGTGTGGTCACCACTGGAGCTTACCTGAACATTTTTCCCAGTCGTAACAGGTGTCGTAGCCACAGGATTCTTTCTTTGTGCTATTGGATGAAAGTTTTGTCCTTTCAAGACCCCATTGCAGCTGTGGACCATCTTGGCAGGAACCAACATGTAGAAAATGGAGTTGCTGATAATTTAAACATTTCTTGGCCAAAAACTTACAAGTGGGTGAAGTAAAGTAATGATCGGAGTCTGTATCAAACACACAGAGATCTTCTGAATAATGGCTGCCCAAGAGATGAAAGCAAGCGTTTATACATGAAGACCAGAAAAAAAGAGACAGCATGTAGCCAATTTAGTATGTTAACAGCCAGTTTTCTTCTCCCTGCTTTTTTCCCTCCTGATTTCTCTTCTTTCAGTTCCTCATTTCAACTTGCCTGCGCTGGGATTCATCTTTCTAAATTTCTCTTAATCTTGATATTATTCCTAATTGCCTTCAAATTAGTCTGAATTCTCAAATTCTGGTAATCAAAATCTTCCATAATTAGACTCCAATCAACTTTCTTTTCTCGACTTATTTTCCCATCCTCCTTAATCCCTCTTTATCACTTGACAATTGTATTGATAATTTTCTAAACTGCTAAGATTACTCTTGCTTTGCTGCCATCTCATGCCCTGCTCAATCAGCATTGCGTTCTTTCCTCTGCCTATCTGTGTCCACTTCAATTCTTGGCTACACTGTGAATCTAACCCTGATCAACCTAGCCCACAGAAAGATGCGCCTCCTCTGAACTCTATCACACTCATTGATTGCAACCCCAGAGTCTTATATCATTATATAGCTTTGCAAATGTGTTTGTATGGTGGTTAAGAGCATGAGCTTTTAAGTCATTCTCTGGGTAATTTGCTTACTCTCTTAATCTTAATCTCTCTAAATACCTACTCCCAAGAGGTAACCAGTGGCCACAGCCCTTCTCTTGCTGAGAGGACAAGAGCTCCTTGATTGCTCCAAATTTGAGTTTCTTCTCTGATGTCAATTGTAGAGTTAACAATTAGTGCACCAGTGTGTAAAATTATTTCCAGGAACTAGAGCCCATAGCTGAGAAGAAAAGGTTCTAAATTCAGAGAACTTAAACTATAGGGCCAGCCACTCCCATAAACACCTTCGATGCTGTATAAAAGAGAACTGAGGACTATAGAAAGAGGCCAGAGAGGTAGGAAAGAGCTGAAATGCAGACGTTCCAGAGGACAGTCTGTATTCTCAGACTTGGTATTGTGAAGATCAAGAAAGAAGTTTCATCTTTGTTAAATGAACAATGTGAATGTTGTAAGTACTCCTCAGAAGGCCATCTGCTGAATGAGGAGACTCCAGCAGCAAGAAGCTACGTGGTGGGCCACCTGTGCTGAATGCTGAGAAAAGTAGATAGAACCACCTTTGGGCTGAATTACATCAATGGAATTATACAGGAAAACACCCTGTGATGTTCTCCAAAATGAATAAATAAATGTGTCCCTGCAAGCAATTGTTCATCTGCAGCACAGAGGAACATGATAGCCAATCAGTGTTAAAAGTGATATATAACAATTGGGTGGCGTCTGTTGGCTTTGAAGGAGGGCAGAATAAGCCGCCCCCAAATATGCCACTTTGGCATATTGATTATTTTGAATTAAAGTTACCTAAGGAACAGCCAGTGTAAGAAAGACTCTCTGATCCTCCTTTGTTTCCCTAAAAGCAGGAAATAAATCTCCTTTGTGGAATCAGTCTCCCTATACCGGAATGGTAGAAGGCACCCTTATTGCCTGAGATAGAGAATTCAAGGCCAAGAAGAATGTGTAAACAAACTTTGTTACTTCTTCATTAATTTACTACCCCAGGCCCTAAATCCTTTATTTTCTCAAATCTTAACAAATAATTGTTTCTGTGTCTACAAGGTATAAAAGCTGCCTGCTTTGGTCACTTCTTTGAGTCTCATATCTTTGGGGCTTCTGTGCACATGAAACTAAATTTGTTTTTCTCCTGTTAATCTGTCTTATGTCAAATTAATTACTAGACCAGCCAAAGAACCTAAAAGAGAAGAGGGAAAAAGTTTTCCTCTTCCACAGCTTCCTAACCCAATGCCATTCTTTCTCCTCCACAGTAATTTAACTCTAACTTTATTTAAAATGCCTACGTAGCCAGCCGAGAAACTGCATCTCATAGCCTCCCTTGCAGGTACATGTAGCCATGTGAATAAGAGAAGGTTAATAGATGGAAGCAAGTGATGGGTCTTCCAAGAGCTCTTCTTAGAAAGACAGGATGTGTCCATTTTTAGTCTTCCTTCCTTCCTGTTCCAGCAGAGCAATCTTGGACCTTGAACTAACTTTAGGGATGGGAGAACAGACAGCACAAAGGAGTCTCAGTCCTGTCTGCAATGAGAGAATCGCCATACTAGCCCTAGCTGCTTACCTCTGCATTTATTTTGTGAGACAGAGAAACAAAATTTGATCTTTAGCTAATGCTAGTTTGGCTTAAATTTGGCTGAAAGTAGCCCTTAAATTAATAAGCGCCCTCGACAGTCCCGGGTTTGTTTATGTAAAGAAGGGGCAGTTACAACAAAGAGGAGATAGCCATCTAGTCATGGCAGTCACAAGAGAATATATCATTTTTTTCTTCATGCTTCAGGATCTCTACCCCAACATGAAATAATAGACTGAAAAAGGGGTGTGTGTGTTTGTGAAGTCCACACTTACACTACTTTCTGTACTGCAAGTTTTTGGAATTACAACCTTCCCTAAACTTAGAGGGAAGAGGAAGGCTTCAAGATGATTGAGTCTGAAGTTTTCAAATGGCCGGGAATAAGTCTTTATAACCAAACTGAGACTGTGTTGATAAACAAAAGCCATGCAAACTTAGGGAATTGAGCTGAGAGATAATTAAGAAACCTTGCTACCTAGTGGGGAAGAAGGAATTCAATAGAGCACAAGGCATATCAGTTACGTGAAAAATTAATATGTTTTTTGTTTGTGCATCAAGAAGCTCAGCTTCTCCATCAAGCTGGTTACACTACACTGGTTTTCCAATTTCCAAATAAGTCCACAGAGTATCTCTTACCTACAATCTTCTTCTGGAGACATGCAAACACATTCAGATCCCAACTGTTTTTGTCCTGGCTGACAACGGCCCTTTAATTTTGTCAGAATATCTGAAACAAAAGAAAAGGGAGTGAAGAACAGTGCACAGCATAGATTCCAAGAGATAAGCTTGAATTTAGGAGAAAAAGCAATAGTGAAAGCTTCTCATGTATCTCCTGGAGTTAGTGCCTTTGTTTGGCTTTTCCAAATAATGCTGTCTTGAAATATTCCATCTGGAAGGTCCTTTCTAGGTCTCATGAGCTGTCATTTTCCAACCTAAAATTCCTGCTAAGTTCAGATAACTGAAGAAAATGGAATTAGTGAAAGTTTTGTTTATTCATCTTTCAAATATTTACTGAACAACTACGATATTCCCAGCACTGCAGTAGGTTCTGGGGATAGTGGATTGAGCAAAATTTGACCCAGATTCTGTGCTCACAGAACTTATAGTCTGTAATACTAAAACAAAGAGAAGTGCTGTCATTATTAGTGCTATTAAAGAGAAAGCATATAATCAAGACAATTGATGTAGCTAGGAAGGTTAGGAATGGTAAAAATGGGAAGAGAAAAGAGAGTGTTCAAAGCAAAGGAAACATCAGGCATAAAGTGCTCTGAAGAGAGGCAGCATGTGACTTTTCTGGAACTGAAAGAAAGCCGGTGAGGTTAAAGCACAGGAAAGTAAGATCATTTTGGCCAGAGAGGTGGGTGTGTGGCAGGCTGTGCAGGGTCTTAAGTGGCTTTTGAACAACTTTTGTCTTTATTTTATCAGCAGTGGAATGTCTTTGGTAGGTTTTAAGCAGTGGGTGGTGTGACAAAATCAGGTCTGCATTTTGAAAAAGAAATTAATTCTGGCTTCTGTGTGGAGAGTAGATTTGGATGGGCGTGGTAGTCAAGAGGATTATGGGTAGACAATCTGATGATAATTTGGACCAAAGTGCCAGAGATGAATATGGAAAGAAGTCGATAAATTTGAGACATATTTAGCAGGTAAAATGGAGGCTACTGCATATTGTGGGTAAGTTATGAAAGTTGTAAAATATGATTCTTAGGTTTCTGGTTTGCATAAGACAATGAATATTAGTGGCTTAACTGAAATAGAAAATATTAGAAGATGCTTAGCTTTAGGGAGGGGAGAGTGATGACTCAAAATCTCCTTTCTGCATTGAATTTATAGTATCTTTAAGACACTCAAACAAAATAGATATATAGGAATTTGGATATTCAGGTCTAAGCTCAGTGAAGAAGTCTGTGCTAAAGATTTAAATTTGTTATTAGTCTATGGAGGATCATTGAATGTGGGTATGGATGAGATTCCCCAGCAGGAGAGTGTAGCATAAGGTGAGGAGACAGATCTGAGCCTTGAGGAACTCCAACACCTAATGTCTAAGCACAAGGAGGACCCTGCCAAAACTAGAGGGCAATAGCCAGAGAGGTAGAAGCTACACAAGACGATGTTGTATATTGGAAGCCATGGAAAGAAAGTATATGCAGAAGAAGGTCAACACTATTGAATGTTGCTGAGATGTCAAAGGAGATGAGGACCAAAATAATGTCCATTACATTTAGCAATATGGATGTCAGTGACAGCAATCATGTAAATGGTTTTTGGAGGGTAATGGCTTGAAAATCAGATTTTCTTATAAGAAGAATCAATGGAGAAATGCAACTCCTAAATGTAGCTATTTATTCCTGCATGATATTCTAGGCACTGGGATAATATGGTGGGAAAAAAAATAAAAAGAAAGAACAAAAACAGCAGTGGTTATTTTTTTCAAGAACCTAAAGGATAGTGGAAAAACAGACATTAATAAAATAATCATAGTAATGGATTTATAATTAAAGGCTCAGATAAGTACTTTGAATAAAGAGAACCTGGTTCCAGGAGATCATACAGCAAAAAGAGCCCAACTGACAAATGTAAGGAAAGATCCAGGAGGAAATGATGCTTGAGCCAAGATGAGCAATTGAATAATGTGTATGTGAGGAATGGAGATAAAAGTAGAGGGAAGAACACTTGGGCATATTGTAGGAGAGGGGAAATCCTGTTCATCTTTGCTTGCATTAAGGCCAATCCAGAGAAACTTTAAACTGGTTAAATTGGACCTGGAGCTGACCTCCAGAACCTGTTGGATGAAAAAACTTCCCTGGTCTGAATCTGACTAATTGAGCATCCACAGAACCACAATGGCCTCTATAAGCAACTAATTGTCAAAGGAAAGCAATAGGCAGCTATAGCTAGATATCTGACACACTAGATGGCAGAACAGGAGACCCAGCTCACGGTTTCTCCTCTTAGCCTCTCAGGTAGAAAGTTTAATAAGGGAAGGAGGTTTATGTTAGAGGCAAAAATAAAGATTTTAAAAAATTGGTAGGTTTTCTTTTTTTGCTGCTATTTCCATTTCCTACTACTATCCTCTGTTAGGACTCTCATTCTATCTAGTGAGATTTGGCTCAGAACTTTCATGAACATGGAGACCTATAGCTGCTGGTAAGGCCTCAGATATTAAGATTTCCACTGATAAAGGATTGTTTTTCTTTGGTTTCTTGTATAACTATGCCTCATTGTTTCTAAAGAGGATCAACTTTCAAGCCATACAGAGAATTGCTCTCACCACTGATTTGAAAGTGTCAGTGATCATGTGCAAGGAGCATTTGCATGAGTGCAACGACAACCTGACTGGGTATCACGCTGAAGCAGGAACTGGCCCTCAGCTGCCCACACTGCTTGCCCTGCAGTTTGTAAGCCACGTGGAAATGAGAACATTGTGATCTTGGAAGTGCCTAGGGCAAGAGGATCTTCTGGAGGTGTTGATTTCTCAGAGGACGGGGAAAAAAGTAACTGTGGAGGAGTGCAGCATCTTATTTCTTCAGGAAGCAAAATGGTTTGTCACGTTGGAAGAACGAAAAGTCCTTCCCTGACCAAAAGATGGCCTGAAAGTCTCTTGGCTCACAACTCCCCCCACAGTGAGAGGAAAGAGTGTTCAGTTTTACTGATGATTTTCTTTCTCTTTCTGTGACTCCTCTCATTGATCTTTCTGCCATTGTCATTAGAGAGAAAGTATATGAGATAAGATATTTATTTCCTTTATCTAGATGTAGAACATTTCATTATCTCTCAGTTTGGATTATAATTTCAATTTCTTTTCCAAACACAGAGCTGTGTGTGTGTGTATTTGTGTTGTATAGAGAAGAGGATGCTACCTAAGATGCCCAGAGGATCCTAATTTTCTGAAGCCTGTGGTTCCTGAACACATCCACCCCTGACATAGATGATCAGGGGTCAAGTGAAACCAAGACACAGCATTAACCTGAAGTTCTCTCAAATTTCCGTGGGATCTCTTTATCAATAGTTTAAAGGTTACTTAACAGCTTAACTTTGCCCTCTTTCCTTCCCACATTGTAAAAGCACAGAAGAGAATAAAGAAAGCAAGACGGCAAAGAGCTGTTGCAGGGTTCCTGTTCAACTCAAACTGTCTGACCTTGGGTCTACTTTATTCTCTCTGTGCCTTTGGTTTTTTCATAAGCAAAATAGGCCTAATTATATCTGAGCTCAGAAACATCCTCAAGGACTCTTTGATTTAAAATGAGATGCCATTTGAAGAAGCGTGTTGAGAAATTTGGAAGATATGAATTAGTAGAATCTCTCTTAACTCTCGTCCAAGTTACTGACTTGCCAGCCTGACCGATGTTCTCTAGTCCTTCTGTGCCAGCTGCCTGTCTGACACCGAACTTTAAGGTTTCTACCGTCCTCTCCTCTACAGCTTCACACTTTTTCTCCCACCCCCCAAGAGTCGGTTCTGTTTACTTCCAAATCTATTTATATCAGTTGTTATTGTAATTGTGTGAGTTTATTAAACATTATCAGCTGATTAAAAAAAGGAAGAAAAAGGGAGTTACTTTTATAAAAGCGAAGTTGAAAATTTTGAACAATTAAAAGTGATTTTCAAAAATTTGTTTTGAATTAATTGTGGATGAGACTTCCGGAGAAGAGTAAAGAAAGACACATAAAACATTTAAAAGCGGGGCTGGCCCGGTGGCGCAGCCGTTAAGTGCACACGCTCTGCTTTGGTGGCCCGGGGTTTGCCGGTTCGGATCCCAGGTGTGGACACGGTACCTCTTGGCAAAAAGCCATGCTGTGGTAGGCGTCCCACATATAAAAAAGTGGAGGAAGATGGGCATGGATGTTAGCACAGGGCCAGTCTTCCTCAGCAAAAAGAGGAGGATTGGCAGTAGTCAGCTCAGGGCTGATCTTCCTCAAAAAAAAAAAAAAATTTAAAAGCATTCTCTAGTCACTTTGCTTCAAAAGTGCCTTTAAGTTTTCCCCTCTCTTCAAAACAATGGTTGCCCTCTCTGCTCACATTTGTGTTAGCTAAGAGAGATTTTATATAGACACCAAATAGTGGGCCTTCCCCAGCTCAATGACAATCAGAATCAGGAGATGGGACCTGGGCAGAAGTATTTTTCTAAAAAAGTGCCTCACCTGGAACTAAAAAACCATTGTTTAAGAGAAACTGGAATGGGAAACATGGTATGGGATAATTATGTGTTTGTTTTATTAATTTGAAACTCTAATCAAGAGATCCTTTATGAAATAAAAGGCCTTGTTCTTACATTGGAAAATTGGTGAATAAATGTGTATTTCTATGTTTTAAGTTAAAATAAAATGCTTAATTATGTGTGTACTACTTTTTTATAGTTTTCCACTTTAACCAAATCTTTAGGTAACTCTGACTTTAGTCAATTCTGATTTTGTTAGACGAGAGAGCTTGCACTCCCTCAAAATATTGAAGCATTACATTGGAAAAGAAAATTGACCTCGCTCTTAAAATTTGAAGATATTCACTTGATCGATAGCTTCTTATTTGCTGCCCGACCTCATCATCTACACAGGGGGAAATACAACCTAGATGGTCAGTGGAATCTTCTGCTTTCTCCCCCAACTTAGGAAATAGCATCACTGTAGATGCCACACTACCAGTCTCGAGGGACACCCCCTTAGCAGATCCCAGAAGCCCGAGCTGCTACTCACCTTTTTCACAGGTGAGTGAGTCTGAAATGGGTGGCATCCAGGAATCCCCACTGCATGTGTACCTTGACGGCCCAGCAACAACAAAGCCTTTAGGGCAGGTTAGCTCAATGGATTCACCAATTTTATATAATCTCTGAAATGGCGAGACTGTCAGGACTTCCTGCACGACTGGCTTGAGGCACCCCGTCCCTGCAGGCAGAGAAAGAGTGCAGGTGTATTTAATGGAGCAGATTCTTCAATGGATGTAGGCAGATTTTATGCCACCCAAGAGGCAATTTTATTGCCATTTACTGCATTGGTTCAGCTCTAATGCCACCTTTGGATCAGAAAACATGGAGGTTGAGGATGCTAGGTTTCCACTGAGAAACTCCTTTTAGTTCTGTTGTCTGGGGTCCCTTGCTAAGAAACTGGCTCTAGATACTTCAACTTTCATTCCATTATTGGGACCTTTTCCTTTCAAGAAAGGATCTTCTTCCTTCTTCTCCCCAGTGGGTTTTCCCAAAAGCAAATCACCACATTGTGGGGGACACTGAGGCAGGACATTCTCATTGACGCTCATCTCAACTTTGCGCCATGGTGTCCCATGATAACTCTTTGGAGTTCCCGTTTGAAGCTTGTTTGAATCTCATTTGGACTTTACTGTAACACGGATGTGTGTGGAGCCTACAAGCTCATCCTTTCTTCCTCAGCAAAAGATGTGAATGTGCCTCAAGGAGAAAACTGCGTTTCACACAAAATCCCATTTTTGATACACAGACTATAAGTATCATCTTCCTGGGACTCATCAATTTGCATCAATTTGTGCATCAGGCGAGGCAGATGTCTGTGGTTAGATGCAGTTAGCAGACTTCCTGGATTTCTTTTTAAGCACATGCTTCGCAGTCCTGTGTATATGAGGCTAATATGCTGGGGCAGGAGAACCGAAATATGAAGATGCTTTGAAATCTAATTTTAGCAGATGAATCCTATTTTCTGCTTCACTAAACCTTTTCACCGGAGTTACTAAAAAAATGCAAAATGTACTGATCTAAGGGAGTGATCTGGCTCTATTTATATCGGGCACATTCATCCTTTAGAGTAAGTCACGCAAAATGTTTGCCCAGTTCTCACGTTGGCATTCCACATCTCCTCGCCTCCAGGTCCTGTCTGGTAAGCATCTGAAGTACTGGTATCCAACAGTTTGGAACCCAGTAAGGCATAAAATTTCAACTTCTTCCCCAACTGAGTACAGTTTCTTTTCATTCTAGAATTAAAACAGAAACCAGCAAATTATTAATGCTATGAATAATAGCTCTGAACATCTTGGGGTCATCTTTCAATACCCTCACTCCTATTGTCTTCTCGGTCACAGATTCCTTTCAATTTCCACTTCTAAATATCTCTCAAAGTTCTCTCCTTTCTTTTGCCATCATCACTGGCTTTGTTCACAGCATTTATTGTCTCTTACCAGGACAGCTTTCGAACTGGTCCATCTTCTAATCCATCTTCCATATTCCTGCTCTAAATTGATTAGAGTTTTTTTTAACTTAAAAACTTGCTGCCTTCTGTATATGAGATGGCCTGCTATTGCAAGAATAAAAAAACTGTATATGTACCTTGTAGTGGCTATCAACTGAATAAATAATGTAACCTACATATGCAGCAAACGTAGCAGTTGCTATGGTAACAAATTGACTACAAATCATTTAAAAATGTTACTCAATTCCTAACAACCCAGTGGTCATTATATATTTTCCCAATTAATGGGTAATTAAAGTACAACTACCGTCATGTGGAGGTTCACTATAATTTTAAAGATAAAGTGGGTCTTATATTCTTAGCTTGGAATATTAGTTTTAACCCATTTTACCATCCTCACCTCTTGCCATGTCCTCCCATAAAATCTGTGCTCTAGCAAAACAGAACCATCTGCCATTCTTTGAACACAATATTCTCTTTTATGCCTCTATGTCTTTACCTGGCTATTCCCTCTTTTCTCAACACCCTCTTTCAAGACCCAACTCAAAAAGAACTTCCTCTGTGAAAACTCCATTTTCCCAGCTTCATGAGGTGTACTTTCCTTTCAGTCCTGGGGGCAACTTGTACAAAGTTCTGTTTTATGGTGTTGATCACATTTATCAACCCCACCCCCTGATACTTGAGTGGCAACTCCACCGCCAGGTCTCTGTCTCATTAATCTTTACACTGGGCTTAATAACTCTTTGCTGAAAGAATGCAAAAGATTATTCTCCTTAGGGAGGCAGCAATTTAACAATCTTTTTCCTTACTGAGCAGGAGAAAAGTACAAAGAATTGACCAGAAGTTATTCTCTGAGAATTGAAGTTGGGAATTTTGAAGGAGAGGAAAGCTTAATCGTCAACTTTTATTATTACTTGCCTGCATGATTCAACCTGTCTCCTAGAAGATTCTTAATTTCCTGAATACAAAATACTATTCTACTATTGGTTATGAGTGTGGCTTTGCTCCCAGGAGAAATGGAATGATGAGTAGTAGTAATGATTTGGATGTTTTAGTTCAAGGCTGCACATTTTTTCTTGCATTCTTCCTGAAATAAGTGACTACCTGAAGATTCTGCTTCCATTTCTTTTGTGAAGCTCTAACCTATTAGTGTATGTGGCAGCCATCGAGCTTGGACCAACACATCCGCCAGACTGACTAAACAAGGAAACCTAACCTAAAGTTACTGTCACTTAGGGGTAGGACTTTGTCTTGGTCATTGAACCGATATCTTCTGCAGTAACACAATTGTTCCAACCTAGAATTAGGCATAACTGCCTCTGTTTGATTCCGTAAGAAGGACATTTTGCTACTAGAAATTCCAGTAGGTGCTCATTAAGAAAATTAAAATTATATTACTTTTGAGTAAAAACCATTGTCAGATAGGGGCCAGCTTGGTGGTGTAGTGATTAAGTTTATGTGCTTTGCTTCTGTGGCCTGGGGTTCGCTGGTTCAGACCTGGGGCATGGACCTACACACTGCTCATCAAGCCATGCTGTGATGGCATCCCACATACAAAATGGAGGAAGACTGGCACAGATGTTAGCTCAGGGCCAATCTTTCTCAAGCCAAAGGAGGAGGATGGGCAAGAGATGTTAGCTCAGTGACAATCTTCTTCACCAAAAAACCAAAAATTATTGTCAGATAGAGATTAGGCCTTTAATAAAAAACAAAATAAAACAAGGAGTGAATTTCTTCATGAAAATGGAAACATATAATCTAATTTTACAGAAGGAGTCATTAGGATAATGAACCATTATTTAAACCCTTTGTTTTCAAAATTAGAATGTTGATAATTTTAACAGTTTTTGTAAGCAACTGGCATAAATAGATTAAAAATTATTTGTATCTGGATCTGACAAAATGTAATTTTGAGGATAATGTTCTAGGTCAGAGACTGGCAAACTTTTCCTGTAAAGGGCCTCGATATTCAATTGCAGGCCATATGGTGTCTGTCACAACTACTCACCTCCGCCATTGTTGCACGAAGCAGCCATAGACAATATATAAATACATGAGCATGGTTGTGTCCCAGCAATACTTCATTAAAAAAAAGAAAAGAAAATAGATGGCAGACCAGATTTGGCCTGTGGGCCATAGTTTGCTGACCCTTGTTCTAAAAGATTCGTTCCCAAGGTATGGCTTTTGAACTCATAGCGTCAGTATTACCTGGGAACTTAGTAGACATGGAAGTTTCCGGGCCCTGCCCAAGACCTGTTGAATCAGAAACTCTGGGAGTGAGATCCAGCAATCTGTACTTTAACAAGCTCTCCAGGGTATTGTAGAGTTTGAGAATCTGCATTCCAGAGTAAAGACTAATTGACATTACCTCACTCCAAAATATTTCCTCCCCTTAAAGCCTTCGGCATGGTATCTTTCACATGGGCAGAAGACAGATGAGCAGGGAAGAGAGACACATTAGTCCAGACTATGCTCTGTGGATATTTATTTGCTGGCCTTGGCAAATCGAGGGTTACTGATCTTTGAACATAAATATGATACAGTTGGAAAAAGATTAATTTAAAGGCTTTACTGAGTTTAAGAAAGGTAAAACTAAAAAAAAAGGTAAAAAGGTAAAATTGATTAGGGAGGATGCTTTCTGTGACCAATTTTAAGTATTATGTGTCTCCTGAAAATTTATCTCTAAAGTCACAGACTTGTCTGACAAAAAATATTTAGTTGTTTTTAATCATAGAAACATATTGTGGCTTAGTGAAAAAAGATGAAGTTAAAGGGTATTAAAACTGTATTGATTGCTTAAAAGTTCTGCAAGTTTCTAATCTAATAAGACTAGAACAGTCTATTACAGACTCAACACCTCCTATGATTATGAACTAGATTGTCTCTCTGATAACATGCCTTTGATAGGGGATTGGTTTGCTCACACTCAGAAATAAACAAACAGATCTTAGTTGCAGATTCTTACAAGTCATCCAAAGCCATATTATGCTCAAGTTCTATTCTCCAAACACACAAATGTGCCATTAGCCTAGGAATGAACAGTGCTGAGGAACACAAGGAACCGGCTATCCTTTGGTCTAACAACCAGGTATGAAGACACCTCCAGGGAATTCAAGACGGAAGAGAGGGGGGGCATTTCTAAATATTACTTTTTACTTTTTAAGTCAACAGAAGATTATTAAACTAGGAAAACAATAACTTCAAATAAAAAAAATGCATACTTTTTAAGTTCTTTTTTTGAATTCCAAACTGAAAGTAAAGGTCAGGATGCTCACCCGGATAAATCCATTTTCTGGAGGAACTGGCTGAGGACACCCTGAATCGGACTCTATCTCAGGAAGGTCTATTTCCTTTACGTCTTCATCATCACTGATACATGGTTGTCCACTAAGAGGGAAAAATAAATATGCATGTATGTATATGCATATAGGCACATACATATATATGTACATATATGTGTATGTGTGTAAATATATTATAGAGAGAAAACATCAGAGAGAAAGGGGTAGCAGCAGACCCAATACCTCATTAATATGCTGCGTTGGAGTCTGCACAATTCTAATTATTTCTTTACTTAGCAGTAGGATAATAAATATCTTAACTCTTTTTGTCAGCGGGGAAAATGACCCATTCCTCCCCATTACCGGCCTTACGTGTTCTCCATTATTGAAAATGTGCAGCGCTCCTCTTGCCGCCTCTCCCCGTCACAGGGCTTCCCTCCTCGCTGCGGGGCAGGGTTGTTGCACTGTCGGGTCCTTGATCTCTTATAAGTAGCATCGCACGGGCTCCAGGAAGACCAACAACCCCAGTACCCATCCACAGCAGCTGAAACGCAGGGAGACCCACGTGGGCTTTGAAGCCAGGCCAACTTGGTTTCCTCACTTTATTGCTATGACTTCTTTGATGGAATATCATAGGGTTATTGTGGTTAAGAAGTCACCTGTGGGAAGGGCCGGGCCCATTGCCTGATGTCCCTTTCCTGTTCCCACAGCCTGAATGAAATGGCAACAATCATGAATCATTTTGAACTATCTGTAACACATCACACACATACGTATGTGCATGCAGATATGTATAAATATGAACTTCTGAACAGAATATGCAAGATATTATGTTTTTAAAGGTAGTAAAATATATTCTCACTCCCATGACACATCCCCTTTCTAGGCAAGATTGCAGGTAACCATGAACACTACTTAGTCCTGTAAGAAACCTTTGATGTGGATTATTTCATCCCTTATTACAAAGCTACGCTCACTCTATGTTACAATACATAAGAGGCTTAGAACAATAGTATCACATATTTTCTTATATAGTAGGTTTTATGACTTTATTTTACGTTGCAGGAGTTGTGCTGTGTATCTTTGGGTACATCCTGGCATACCCATTTTATGGATGAACAGACTGAGGCATAGAGAGGTTAGATGACATTCCCAAGGTCACATAGCTGGTAGGTTACAGCTGAGACTCACCAGGGCTGGTTGACTGTAAAGTCTAACTTTTTACAGGCTTGTTTTCCTTGTGAGTGGAAGTTGCTGATAGAAATTTTGTTTTGTTTTAATTGGCCAACCTACCTAGAATACCTTTTGGAGGGGAAAAGGCATCCACTTCACAGTAAATTACTGATACTTACTAGATTTATAATCCAGGGAGCGTCTCTCGCAGTTCTCGCCGTATGTGCCGCTCTGGCACACACACAGACATTCGGTCCCCGAGAGCGTGGGGCGGCCATTATTAGGGCATGGAGCACACTGGCAAGGGTCAAACCTGGCTGCATATTCTCGAAAAGCTTTCCTGAGGTTGTTCCGTCTTGTCACCGCACAGGGGATGTTTCTTACCAAGTCCGAGATGGGAGCAAGCTAAGAACAGATGGCAGAGAGGAGGTCTAGTCACAGTCCCGTCCCTTTGGCATATGTTGCCATCACTGCCCAATTTTCATGGGATGAGATGCAAGGCCTGGAAAATCCCACACTTCAAAAGGATTATTTGTAGAATATAGTCTGTCTGCCTGTTGAACCAGTGGGGAAAAGCCCTCTCGATAAAGGCAGGGCAATTTCTCTCCCTTCTATAAATTGGGTAGAGCAGCTCTCTCCAAGATGAGCTGGCTTCTCTTGTCCCTAAAGTGTGGCAGTGTGACGTATATGGAGCTTACTTTCCCTGGCATTCTATGACAAAGGAAGCCTCACGTGAGGTGTCGCTTACTTGGACTTACATCATGTTATTTATCAAGCATCACGTGCATGCATTGAAGTCCTGAGACAGGTGACCAGCAAGAGGGAGGCAGCTCATGAAGGCTCTGCTGAGACCTTGTTCAGTTTGACTCAAGCTGAAAACTGCAGAGAGGTTTTCTGTGTTCTTTGTGTTTCCAGGGACAATACTTTGACTTTTGGTGGGACCAGATGAGAAAATGTGAAGTGGGAGAAAATGGAGAAATGAACTTGCTGGTAGGATGAATGGGAGAATTATTGTAACAAAGAATGAAGCTAACACAAAATCAAGGCTCATTTTACTAACACTTTAAAACCTCAAAGGAATGACTCTCTAGTGCACTATATGACTCACAAGTGCCCAGATGGGCGGCTGGATCTCATTTTCCCACCATAACCTGTAGAGCCCAATGTATCTTCATTTCACATGTAAATTACTCTACTTTCATAGTGATGGAACTCCTTTATCTTCGTTAAATGAAATGAGCAGAGTAGCTTCTTTGGGGGCTTTTTAAAATGTGCTTATGTTTTGTGGAAAACTGGCTCTAAAAGGCATATGACTGATATGTGGGCATAAACAGACAAGTATTGCATAAATAATAAAAATCATCTTTTTATGTAATTACAACAAATATAAAACTGATAAAATTTAATCAATGGTGATAGAAACAGAAAGCCAAATGGATCTAAAATCCCATTTATCCCACAGAGCTATAAATGAAGATTTAAGAGTGCTCATCCAATAAAGAGTTGGAGGAAAAATAGAGAAATCAGATTTATTGTATACATGGGGAGATGAAGAGTGCTATTCAAGGCAAGTTTGAACAGTTTTATTCACTAAATTCCCTTTTCTAGTATTTTATCTATATTAGAGATTCTAAATACTGCACTTGAAAATGCTTGTTTGAGTAGCAAAAGCAATAGATGTGTAATTTCACATTTTTTAAAAAGGTACATTGTGCATGCACCCTAAAGAAAGACATTTCCTTTATCATCTGAGAGGAAAATGGAAAAGGAATCGTGTGATGTTCAATTTGAGCTGCTAGAGAACCACTTTAGCTCTCTTACCCATAATACTTTATAATCTTACCTCAAAGTCAATCACAGCAGGATTTTCCTTCACTGATTCTAACCACTCAGAAAACACTTTCTCCTCGGGCCCAGAGCTCCCTTTCTCCCACACCAAAGCTGCTGCATACTGACTCCTCCCGCCTCGAACCAGGGATATGGATTTCTCAGCTCCCTGCAAAAGCGAACCTGCAAGGTGTTTCAAGAAAATTACTCATTTTATTGCAAATTCAAACTTCAGAGAAGAGCCTATTTGCACAGGAGGGAGAAGTAGAGAGGACAGGCACGTAGCTCCATTAAGTAAGCTAAGCAAAAGGCAAGCAAACGCTCCTCTTGGTCCCTATAGGGAGTTTAATAATAGAAATGATAATAACAGTGAGAACAGCTACCATTTACTGAGCAGTTTGTATGTGCCAGGCACTCCGCACACACTATCTTAGGTAACTGGGAACAATCCTGAGAAGTAGGAATTATTACGATTATTACGAAGATGGACATTAAAGCTACAAGTAATCTGGCCTGGAACACGTGGTTACTAAGAGGGGGGCCTGGGCTGCAAATGCAGCCATGTCCTGCTCTTTGACACCAAACCTCTCGCTACTAATTTATATTAGCTCATCTCTTGGACCTCAGGAATAAAATAAACCATGTGATTCTGATATCCGATCAGTTGACTGCCATGCCAGAGACTTCTAATTACAGAAAAAAGTTGATAGAACGCTTTTAAGCTTAAAGACAGGAATAAAAACACAACCAGTCAAAGAAAAAAAATTAAACCTCAAGTTGAGAGTTGGCACAATGTTTCTTTAGAGGCAATGACATTTAACGTACACAATACAGATCTTTTATACAAATTTCCAAGACAATTCCTATTCACTAGCGGGGTCTTTAACTGACATGAGTAGGAGATGAGTAATAGGAAATTGCATCAAGAAATGAAATCATATGCCATTCCAGTGTGGGCAAAGACCTGGAACCAGTGGCAGATTCGGCATGTTCTGGAGACAATGCATGTGAACATCAGTTTGAATTGAAGCTGAAGATTTAGGTAGGAGAGGAACAGAAGAATAAAGAGGATGTGGATGTGAAGCCAGGGAAACTAGACTTCATTCTTTAGGTTTAGGAACAACTGCATTCTCTAGAAACGTTGAAAGGTTTTGAGTTGGGAAGTTGACGCAACTCAAAATATTAGCAATGTGTCAACTGGGCAGCAATGGAGAGTTGATAAATCAGATTGGAGACTATTGCAATCATCTCTGATTTTGCAATGTCCTCCTTTTATTCCTACAGGCTGAAAACTATGGGTCCATATTTGACATTTTATCATCTCATTGTTGGATAGGTTTTATAATTGAGTAGCTTTTTTTAGTAAGTACTCAAGAATGTATATTTCCAGAATTCTCTCGTGTTTTGAAATGTCTTCCTGTTACATTTACATATGACCACAGTTTTTTCCTCTTTCAGAAATTTGTGGATATTCCTCTATTGTCTGGTAGCATTGAATTTTGTTATGGAGAGTCTGAGGTCAGCAAGATTTTGTTGTTGTTGCTGTTCTGTAGGAGGCTTGTTCTTTCAACTGAGATACTTGAAGAATTCATTTTTAAAATCTTTGTATTTAGTAGATTAACTAGAATTTGTCTTGAAGTTGTATATTCGAACAATATTTTTCATACATATAATCAAGACAAGTTTCTTCCTTTATTTCAGGGACACATTATATAGCCTATTTTTAAAAAACAGTTTTTCTGTGTCATTACTTGGGATCTCTATTTTGGGGACACTATTTCCCATATATTAAATTATATTTGTCATTCTGAGTCCATTAGATTTTCTTTAATAACTGTTAATATCTGATTTTTTTCTCTGCATTTGTTATGAATTACTTTAGATCTTTCCTATGTGTGATTAGCTTTATTAATTTTATTCTCAGACAATTATATTTTCTCCTTGCAGTGTCTAATTTACTTTTAGCTATAATGGTGATATTTTTCAATATTTGTTTGTCTTTGTACCTTAGCTTTAAAATCTTCCTTTTCAATTAACTCTTACATTTAATCTTTTTGTCTCTGAGCTCTTGATTTACTGAATTCACATTCTTATTAAATCATTCTATTGCATGAAAAACTGCTATAGAATCTGTTTCCATTCTGGTTTACATTATTAAATCATTTGTCTGCTTTGCATGCTGTTCCCTTTTTTCGTTTTTTGCTGTAATACAAATGCATAGTTGTCAAGCCAGTTCTCCTTATTTCTCTTATGCTTAACATGGGTATCTACATGTAGAACATCTATATATTCTGATAATTAAAATTATCTATTATTATTATAGTAAATATTATATTTTTATTTGCTCTTTGTCTGTCTCTCCATGAGAATATAAGCTTCCTATTTTGGGATTTTCTGCTTCCCTTTGTTCTGAGCAGAATGAGTAGCAATCAGTCAGGCAGAGTAAGAGAGTAAGAGAACTTTACACAGAGGAAGGAGTTATTTATAATAGCAAGGCACAGGAGAGAGCATGACTTATGTAGGAGAATACATAAAGTTTAGCTAGGCAGAGAGAGAGACAAGGACTGATCTTTAAGGCTATGAGAAACTATGACATGTTGAAGACATGAGAGTTTCAGGATAAAATTTGCCTTGGAGAAGATTCCTCTCATAGAAAGTATGTAGAATCGATTGGAAGAAGCAAGACCATAGGCAAAGGGACCAGTTGGGGGCTTCTGTGGCATCCAGGTTGGAAATAAAGAATGAGGGCATGCCCATGGAATGAAGAGATGGGGATAACTGGGAGAAGTATTAATGGGGTAGAATGGTTACTTATTGGATGTGGAGGCTAGAAAGAGGGAGAAATCAAAGACAACACGCAGGTTTCTGGCTTTGCTGCCTGAGCCTTTTTCACATACCTCCCTTGGATCCTTGTCACTCTGTATTTTTAATGGTTGTTTATAGGTATCCTTACTTTGTAAGCTCCTTGATAGGAAGTCCTGATTCACACCCATCTTTACGTCACAATGCCTAATATTGAGTTCAGCCCAGGGGAAGAATCAACAAATATTCGTTAAATTAAACCTAAGTATAAGGTAAAGAAAACCTTAACCCTTTCCTCTTGTAAGTAGCACTAATGATTTTATTTGCACCCTCTTCCCACTGATGCGGGATCAGTGAGCCAAGGAGTCAAAAGAAAGACTTCTTGGACTCTCAAGGTCTGGCAGTAGTGCTCTTTTATCTAGAGAATAGTGTGGAATAGCATGGGGACAGGACCCATGGGCAGTGGAGAGCCGCTGCAAACATGGGTTGAGGATAGGGCTAAATTTAAGTCATAGGTATGTGAGTTATCTCTTTAACAAGACAAAGGAAAGAATATGTAAAAAAAGTTGTTAAAATGGTATCAGTGCAGGTGGGGTCTGGTTATTGCTTGGTCTTTTAGATAACTTTTAGATAAGAATCAAACCAGATTAAGTAAATGGCTGAAGCCACCATCTTAAATATTATTTTTAGCTAAAGACAAAGGAGGATGTTGGGGGTGAAGGGGGAGTCGATCATGGGAGATTACCACACAAGTACAGTAAACAAGATGAAACAAGATGCAGATTGAAGTTCTTGCCTTCTGCATTGATAAGTTTCTAGAGATAAGGTCATCCCCCCTTCTTCCTGGTGCAGAGAGGGAGACACCTTTACAGATGGAGATTTCCTTTACAATGTAAATGTCTCTTAACAAAGGGTAAGTAAATTCTACTCCTCAGAGCCTCCTTCCCATCTGCAGTTTTTAAAAGTAACCAGCCTAAAATAATCCTCATCACCACCACACATAGAGCTCTGAGGTAGATAAATGAAATGAATGAACAGTTAAAAAATAGCACAGTCATGTGCAATATGGTACTTAAATTACTGCCGGCCTCAGGACACGCTGGGTAGGCTGCTAAGAGAGAGTACTGTTACCTTCATATTTCTCTGACAGCTTGTTCGTGGTGCACCGGTGTTCCACTTTTGTTTTCTTAACAAAAAGAAAACGTTTCTTTGTTTCAATCCGGATACAGTGTTGGACTTCTTCCTCTGTTAGACCTGGGAAGTGGAGAAAAGACCAAAAACCCTGAGGATGCACCATTGAGAACTCAGGGAAGATGTGCATGAGGCTCTGGGCACTCTGGGAGCTACCGGTACTCTGTAAGCTAGAGAGATTAACAGCTTTTCCCTACAGATTCTGTCCTTTACAGGCCCTGAGATGGGCTGGAACGGAAGAGGTATCTGTGAGTCTCTGCCATCTCCCCCTTCAACACTGGCCCTTTAAAAGCAAACCTGGGGTCACTGTGGCCCTCCCATGGGGATCATGTTGGCCTCTCCCTTTTGCCTACACACAATGCACCTCTAAGCCTGCTGGTCCTACCTGCCACTGCCACCGTATAGCCCAGAAAACCCAGAGATGAGCACATGATCTGTTTTGTGCCCCAATGTCAGGTCTTTTTTCTGGGACACAGCTGATTCTGTGAGACCTGAGGTCACTTCACATTTTTCCCTGTTCCTCACTGAAAGTAGACCTTGTTGATCATCTCCCTTCCCCTGAACACTCACTCTCGTACTTCTCTGTGCTTCTGCTCCCTGGCTCAGCTGCTCACTCCATCGCTACTTCCAAACCCTTTTGTTTTGCTCTCAGAAATTCTCACGTCCTGACCTATGAACTCCTCTTTTCAACGTCCTCACTGGCTGTTCTATCTCCTTATCTTAATTCAAGCCTGTACTTGACATGTTTCCCCTATTGTCTCCAAGGGAGGTTGGTACTGCCTCATTCCCAGCCCCTTCAGATATAGGAACTGGGGTTGATATCTTCCTAGTTTTCCATTGCTGCTTCCATAGCATGACTCTCCATGGTTTCATAAGTCTTGTAAAAACCCTGATGCTTTGAGGCTCAGGCCATCCAGCTCTAATAAATTTATCCTCATTCTTCTTATCTTCTACCAAACTTCCAAGCATCATTTGTTGAAGATTTTGGCATCTGAATCACTTTTTCCCACTATAATGCTTGCCATTTTTCTCAATGACTTCAAAATCTATGTGGATGTGAGGGATGGAGTAGGACCGGGCATGGACACAGGTCTGGCTATTGGTAGGCAGAGTTGGGACTGCCTATTTAGGATAATTTGAGAAGAAGCAATGTTTCATATTTCTCTTTTTTCTTAGTTTTTTTTAAAATTTTATTTTTATTATTTTTTTGAGGAAGATTAGCCCTGAGCTAACACCTGCTACCAACACTCCTCTTTTTTGTTGAGGAAGACTGGCCCTGAGCTAACATCCATGCCCATCTTCCTCCTCTTTATATGTGGGATGCCTGCTACAGCATGGCTTGACGAGTAGTGCATAGGTCCACACCTGGGGTCTGAACCAGGGAACCCCGAGCTGTTGAAGTGGATTGTGCAAACTTGACCACTGCATCACTAGGCCGGCCCCCATATTGCTTAATAGCTTCCCAACCTACCTGATCTGCTACCTGAAACATCAAAATTAGAATCCAGGTTTTTTGATGTTTAAAGTTGCCTTGCAAAACATAAGCATATGAGAGAGAGAGCTGTTAATATCAGCTTTTAGGCACTTTAAAGCAAGGAAGTTTATCAAACACTGATATTTAAGTTGAAGTTTTCCCCATTTTTGCAGGGAAAATTCACTCTGAGCGAACATCTGTTGCCAGTCTTCCTTTCTTTTTTTTCCCTCTCCAAATCCCCAGTACGTGGCTGTATGTCATAGTTGTAAGTCCTTCTAGTTCTTCTATGTGAGCCGTCACCACCACATGGCTACAGACAGATGAGTGATGTGGTTCTGCACCTGGGAATTGAACTTGGACACCGAAGCAGAGCATGCTGAACTTTAACCACTAGGCTGTCAGGGCTGGCTACAAATACTGATATTTAGGGTTGGAGTTTACAATAGGCAGGAAAGAGTGTTTTTAGAGCTTGAGGCACAGTTTGGGTGTGATAGGGAAATTGAAAGCTAAAGGCACTGATCACTGAGAAATGAGGCTGAGGAGATGGGGTTGGGGTCTGCCTACTTCAAAGTTTTTTCAATAGTTTGACACATTTGAAGAGATGCATTCTAAGTTGGGAGTAAAAAATTCTTGGTTTGAAGCCCTCATGTTTCCTTTGCATCTTTAACTTGGCCAGGCTGAATAAATACAAGTCATTTTGTTTTCTGGTAAGATTGTTCTTATAATGGATCAGTCAAATGTTTAGGCCATGTTAGGAATTTAATGCATCTATAGGGCACAAGTCCTATCCTTTTCCTAGTCTTTCATTAGGTTTTTATTATTTATAAGTGAAAATTATGTTTTATGTGTCCGATTAACTATACCATAATTAATCAACTATAAACTTAGTTAATTTCATTTTCTGAGGGTTATAGAAAAATCCTTGAAGATTTGAATGATGAATCCCTCTTATGAGCCATGATGTTGGTCATGTAGGAATTAAAATGTCACGTCTTTATCAGAGAACTTCCGCCTGAATTTCTTTCTTTTCTTCCTCGCAATACCGTGTGTCCTGTAGTTTACTGCCTGACCTCCATCCACACTAACGACAGAGTTGCTTGATGCTACAGCACTCAGCCTCTCAAACCTGAGCATCCCTCTGATGCAGCACAGGGATGAGTATTCTGAAAATCTCCTCAGCTACTCTGACTGGCAAAGGTCAACAGTGTGACTCAAAAATGGCATACTGATAAACAGTGGGGTGAATAGTTTCTCTCCTCCAATTCAAAGCAGAAAATGACTCCTAACAAAAGGAGTTTAAAATTACCATCTTGCATATTATGATATTTTAATTGTTTAATGTTTTCACTGTATTCCTGAAATTCTTTTCACCTTGCACACTGAAGCAATGTCAACTTTTATTCAAGGTTTTAAATTGACTATGGCACACTGAACAACAGAGGAATAAATCAAGGGAGGCAAATAACAAGCAATTTAATCGTTTCCTTCTTCTTGAGGGAGAAAAAGGACTATGAAATATCCAAGCCATTTTTTTGAAACTAATGACAAGGGATATAATTCTTATTGAATAAAGTAAACAAAAACTAAGCCTATACTCTAGTTCCATGTAATGGCCAGATAAGGGGAAAAGGAATAGAAAGAGAAAAGGGAGGAGCCCAGAGTGTATTCATCTAGAGAGTGGCCAAAAACAGGTAAACACACCCACTAGAGAATTCCAGTTTATTGAGATTTGTTTCTGTGTGAATGTGCTTCATCTTAACCACAATTAAAATTGCACACCAATATTATTATTGTGACTCAGAGAAATATATATATATATATAAGAATATATATTATATGTAAGAATGTTTTATTGAACATATTGAATATACCTATATATATACACACTATAAATACTATATATAGCGTGTGTATGTATGTGTATGTCGATGTGTAGGGTTATATATTTTTAGTTCCTATCACATCTCAAGCTCCCTTTCTTTCCCTTATTATGCATATCTGTTTGCTGGTTTCTATTTATAGAAAAAGAAAGGGCAGGTAAGAATAGGTAAGAACGTTTTAGTAGGAAAATGCAGCTCCTCCCTTTTCATTTTGGTTATGGGGCTTCAGCTATTAAAATGCTCGGTGGTTGATTAAAGATTCACATAGTTATTTAACTGACCTGATCCCAAAGCCTTTAGAAGCTTTGCTCTGAATGTATGATAAGTATAGCTCATCCAGGGCAAAATTATTCTCTAGGCTACAGCAGCAGTGACCAGCATAATTTCATCCCAAGGGTGAGATGAAATCAAGTCAAGGGGCAGAGATTTCCCCTAACCATTTTTGCTCAGCATTAACATTGATGCTATTCTCAGTGGCAGAAGACGTCCGGTTCATCATGCAAACGTTGCTTCAGTGGAAAGGATAACTGAAATGGGACATAAGGGACAGGTAGTGTGGAAAGCCCATCACGGCATAAATCTTTTGGATTTCAGTAACTCTGTCAGGTAAAATGTTTTTAATACCTTCTTACTGAAAGTCCTTCTCAAAGACATTTATTCCATCTCTTCTCTTAGGAAGCAGATCATGAGGGATATCTGGTCATTTAATGTTTGGAAGGACTCAGGGCAGTCACACTGAGCATTAGTATTTGCCACAGTGAGGTGTAAGAACAGAGCGATTGATACTCTATTGACCCCTGGGTTGGCCTGATGTTGTCTTTTTAAAGAAATTCCTGGGTTCTTTTGTATGAAAGTTACATGATGTAGAATTCTGATTCATTTCGGGGAAGTGGCCAGTGGAGTTCTAGTTACCGTACAGTTTTCCCAGCCATGTTCTCAAGAGACACATGATAGAATCATCACAAAGACCCTACGTCATTTCACACAGGAATCTGAAAACAAATTTATCCTCAGGAGCTCAAGCTGTAATAACAATTAATATTGGTAATTTAAGATAATACTTAAGAAACCAAAATTTATTCATAAACCAAGCTTTATATTGTTATTTTATGCGTAAGCAGAAAAATATCACTGATTATATCCCAAGATATAAAGTTGCAATCTTTCCTTAAACAAAAGTGCTTCTCATTTGGTTTCAAGTTTTATCAATGGTAGGTGCATATCTGGGCTACATTAACTCAGCCTCTTGCCAAGTCCTTAACTGCTCTTTCATCTTATGCCCTTGGCTTTTAGTTAAACTCATTAAAAGAAAAAGACTGCTAGTGAATTTGCCATATTTATTGATCTATAAAATTATTATCTCCTATACAAATAGTATAAATAAATTATCTTTTAGAATTTAGTTCCAGGACACATTTTGTCTTCCTTGAGATAATGGCATGTGTCTCTCTTTTTCAGTTACCACCCCTGTGTAGCTTATGTTGTTCCTAGATGTCAGGAAATTCAGAGACAAAATCTGATGCCCAGTCAAAGAGGTTAAGCATATTTATTTTTCCTTCTTTTTTTGTCTTAATTTTCTATTTTTATTTTGTGTGCTTGAGTTGTACTTTTTGGTTGTTCTTCATATTATTTTCGAAATAAAGCAGAGTCTAATAAAGTCAATAAAGAAGAAGAATTAAAATGATAAAGTGAAAAATGTATTGCATGCTATCATATCACTTAAAAGAAATGAGGGCTGCAGCAAGCATACCTGAGTTCCTCAGTTCCTCGCTGCTGTACTGATAGAGGAGGTCATACGCGCCGCCCAGGGAGCCGGAGATGAAATAGTGAGTCCCGAAGTCATCAAATATTCGGCTATACAAAGCAGAGTTGTACTCTAGAGGCAGATGGTTAAGTGCTTTCAAAAAGACATCAGAAAGCTGCAGATCTTTAGTTTTCATTGTGAAGTTTAAGACTTTTATCACTTTATGGATCCTAATAAAACTCGAATCCTAAATGGAAGAGGAGAAAAGAGGCAAAAAAAAAATAAAGATGATTAAAGGTAATGAAAGCTTGAGGTATCAAGCATTAAATGTCATCTATTTATCATTAGCTTCATTCCAGTCATAGTACGCCAACAATTTTAACTCTCAATTGCATGTTCTCATGTACAAAAGTATAATTTTCATTTTATTTTCCAGCACCTTTCCATGAGGTGCTCTTTCAAAGTGCTGAACAGACAAGATTATCTCAATAACGTAAACTGTGACTGAGGCATATGTTATTCTATGGGAAAGAGATCAATTATCAGAAAAATAAAATTTTCTCTCTCGATTGTCAATTGCGACTACATCCTTACGAAGTTTTTACTTAGAAGGCCTTGCTAATGCAAATAATTTAAAAAGGATCATGTAAATTTTCAACGGGAAGTTATGCAACTGAGATTCAAGTCATACCTTGTCACTAACTGGGAGAAAGCCTTTAAATTTTCCATGCCTCAGTCGGCTATGAAATGTCACCTGGTATACAGCTCTCGTCTGTGTACCAGGTGACATTACATACCCTTTCAACTCCAAATATTATGATTCTAAATTACTTAGGGGGTAAAATTAAAGAAAATTGTTTATATTCTCTCTCTTCCACCCATGAGCAGAAATATTTGTTTGAAGATTGTATTTTTAAATCATTTCTTGTTATTTGAGGTTCATTTAGGATTAGGTGGTTGTTACTACGTTCAAAATCTCACTCTGTTAGAGTCCCTTCTACGTATCCATTGAGTTTTATGAGTGCAGCCATGTAGACTATTTTTTTAAAAATTCTGTATACTTTATCTAATATCTCAATTTTAGCAAATTGTAGTGTTTGAGTAAGAGTAACAGAGAAAGGAGTATATTTTAGTGAAATAACTTTATTGTGGTGGTAAATTATTAAACAGCTATCTTCCTGTATGTTTAATTAGGACAGCTGCGTAAACAAAAGAAAAAAATAATCACAAGAAATGAAAAAGAGTCATCATTTGTCCTCCACTCTCTCTCTTTTCCTATATCTCTTCCTGCCTTCCTCTTTCCCTCCTTCCTACCTTGTTGCCTTCAATATATTTACATTGCTCTGCTATCTCAGGTGCTGTGGACCAAGAAATGAACAAGGCAAAGTTCACGCCTTTGCGGAGCTTACATTTTAGTAAGTGTCCATTAATTCTATTTTTAAGTTTAATACTTGAATTTTTTCATAGAACCATGGTTTTCAAAAATTGGAGGGGCGTTGTGCTTTTAGTAAGAAGCACACTTACTCACTGAGTCTCTGAAATGCCTGTTCAGACAGGGATGTTAAATGGGCGGTTCAAAATTTTCAGGTTGCTTTAAAAACTAAATTGTGGAAAATACAAGTGAAATTTGGGTAACTCAACACATCACCTTCTCTAGCGTTCCACTTGCCAGTGCCTGATGGCTGGAATAGGCTATTTTAGACTAAAGAGTTATCTAACAGTAGGTTGTTAACCACGTACGATCTATTTCAACACTTTGTGAGATCTCGCTTTATTTTAACCATCTTTTTGTCGGTTCAATTTTGTAAAGTAATTCAGAAACAGCACTGAATCTTACTGCAATAATTGGTATTTTGACTTTGAAACAGACTGCCCAACAAATGTTTAGTCAGATCAATCATTGACAAAATAAATAAATAAAGCGCATTAAACTCCACCAAAGGGCATGGATTGATTTTCAAGTTTGTGGTAACTTGTTTTCACTATTTGAAGACTTAAGGTTGCAGTGGCATTTTCGATTTAACCTGAGATTTCCTTATTCTGTTCAGATCTAATCAAAGATGTTGGGTTGAATCATATTAAGTGGACAATTTTGTGAGTCAAAAATAGTTGACTATCGCAGTTTCATAGGATCCAACCCGATACTGCGAATAGCCCAAAATGTTTCCACTTTGGGGCGGACTATTAGAGGATCAAATAACAGCTGTTTACTGACAGATAAGGGTTTTACAAATGTCCTCTAATATGTTTGAAGCACTTATAAACTAATTCTGTGAAGCAAATCTTAATGTTGAGACTGAGATCTGTCTATCTATGTCTCTTTCAACATCTCCATTTCCCTCCCCATCTTTCACTATATTTTTAGGCAATTATTTCCAATCCTGGATACGACATCAGAGTGAGCTGGGGGACTCAAAAAGAAAAAGCCAGAATCACATGCCCGACCCCAGATATTCTGGATCAGGAAATTAAGGGAAGGGCCTGGGGGTGGGGGTGTATATTTTTACTTCCCGGTAATTTTATCTTGTCTTAAGAATATAATTTGGTAAGTTTGAGGGACACTCTGTGACCCATTTGAAACTGAACTAATAATCTAGTTATAAAAGGAATCTGTTTTATTCTCTTTTTTTCTTACATGTTCATATCAGTGGATCGTGCCGAACTTAACCACTAGGCCACGGGGCTGGCCCCTAGGGTTGACATTTTTAGATATATGAAGATTTAGGGAATATACCTTGCATGTATCCTACCTGAGGAAAATATAAAAATATGACAACTGAATGAGAACAAGGATTTCAAGAAAGAGAAGATGAGAAAAGAGGAGACAGTGAGGAGTAAATGGGATATACATATATGCATCACATATACATACAAATACATATATAAAATATAACACAAATGTAAAATACAGACTATTAACTTTGAATTTACGTGTTATGTGAAGAATCTTTAAATAGAGAAGACAAGAGTCAGAATAAAAACAAATAAATATATATAACATAAAAACAAATACAAAATGATACCTATGAATAGCTTGGAACACATACGTTTTGAACTATCTCAATAAAACTGAGGGTTTGGAGGTCTGTGATCACGGTGGTGGGGGAGTAGGGAAGTGAATGTGTTCTCAAGGACTCAAGGAAACAGTGAGGATGGGAGGTGGGGAATAGGTAAATAAAACATCTTTTTGGGGGCTATAGACATTACTTCATGTGACAGAAGAAAAACACAGGTTTAATTATGCTCGTTAACTAGAGAAAGGTAACTATAATCAAAATTTCAAAGTTTAGTAGAACTTCCAAAATGACCAAAAGGATAAGAGGGAGGAGATAGAAATGTGACAAAGACAGAAAAAGTAAAGAAACAAGAAATAGCAACAAAATGAAATGAGTAGAAAAATTAAAGATGGAAGAAATGTGATCAAGTGTTTCAGTGAGTATATTAAATGTGAGTTGGTTGAATTTCCCTAGCAAAGGCCTGAGACTGTCAGATTACACTCAAAAAAGCAAAATTCTGTTACTTGCAGTTTATAAGAAATAAACCTAAAACAGTAAGACAAAGAAAAGTTACAATAAAGAAAACACAACCCTAAACAGAGCAAAACGCATGCAGACAGGGAGCATCATTATACATATTACCTCTATAACTTTTAAAGTGAGATACAACAAGAACAAGACATGAAACTATTTAAATCTGTGTTAGAAATCTTACTGATTTAATGTGAAAACTCTCCCCTTCTCATTGCATGATTGCTGGAATTGGCATTAATTTTTAGGAAAGAATAAAAAGATCAAGAACCACGTGTATTACCTTTTTGTGGGAGGCTTGAATAGCTTGTTTGAAGGCAGAGCTATGGGTAGAGATTTCACTTCTTTTTGAGGAATAAAAAACAGGGAAATGAAAATTGCTGCTCCCTACGCCTGAAGCTGAGGCTTGTTGATTTTCATTCTTTCCAAGGGGAATTAAATCCTTGTAGAAATCTGTTTCCAAATCATCTTCTTTAGTTTGTACCTGGAGAAAAATCCATATGAAATAAAACATAACTTAGGAAATACCAGAGCTACTGTGAAGATCTGATGCAAGAATCGTTCATTCATTTATGCATTAATAAATATTTACTGAGGACTCGTTTTGCTAGGGAACAAGGAATAATGTTAGTCCCTGCCCTCAGGGAGTCAATAGTTTAGTTAGGAAGAAAGACAATCACAGACACTTAATTCAATGTGACAAGTGTTGTACTGTCAACGGGATTGCCACAAATATACAAAATCCAGAGAGGCAATACCAGGAAAAGCTTGCTCAAGGAAATGACTCCTAAACTGAGAGTTACTGAGGTGATAAGCAACGAGGACTATTTTCAGTCTGCCTATTAATTTGATGCAGTTTGAGTTTAATTTAAGGTATCTTTCAGAAAATTGAGGGCTAGAAAAGGGAAGGGTAGGTCCTGTCTGCTCTGGTTCCATTCCCATCCCCTTAGCTTTATTCAATGTTGGGCATCAGCACTCTACTGGCCATGTCTACAAGGCAGAGGACAAAGAATAGATTGGTTCTGCCTGGTGGCGGGTTATCAGTCTTCACTGACTTGGTCTGGGAAGAAGAGAAAAAGCCAGTGGGACTTGACTTGAGCTATGAGTAGAGCAGGATGTTTTCCAACTACAAGTTAAATCCCTGTTATGGTTATATTGGTAAGAAGACAACAATAGATACTTTTTTAAGTTGAAAAGTAAATTGATCGAAGAGTATTTCTTTATGTTCAAGATGCTTGTCTGGTTTGCAATGGAAACAACCTCTTCTTGTTTTAAAATATTCAATATTAAAATGCACTGTGAGGCAAACCACATGTCACGATTAAATAGCCTGCAAAATCAGTCAAAGAAAGACAAAATAACCCAGTTGCAAGAGTCTTGCTCAACAGGAAAATACGGTCCAAAATTCAGTGTTACTTTCAGATATTGAAGTGCCTGCTGGTTAGCATTTAAAACGTCCACATTTTGTTTTTTGGAAAGTATTGTATTTTGAAAGTAAGCTCATTGATTGGTTGTTTAGGAGCTAGAAAGCATCCTCCAACATAACAATATTATATGTAAATGTTTGGGTTTTAGCTCTGTCAACAAAGCCTATTCAATACTGTACATCGTAAGAGTAGTACCATCTTTGACAGGATTCCTGATTTTATTGTTTCTTTGGAAAAAAGTATCTTCTGAGCTCCTATTCAGGGTACCGGCAAGACCTCTTCCACCTCCCTTGGTGTTGGTGGGCCCTGGGGTTAGCAACTTCTGGATCTGAAGGGAGACAGCGGGTAGTTTCTTTACCTGGTCAGAGGCCCCTCCTTACTCTTGTCACTTCTACCTCCAGGCAGAGATGGGACTTCTCAGGGCCAGTCTTCCAAAAGGTGTTGGAATTTGGCAGTTCCCAAGGACATTTCCCACACTCATTAATATGTACATTAGATGGTTTTAAATTGAGTTTATCGAATTGGAAAATACCTATAGTTATATGTATATAAAGGTTTTTTTTTTAAAGGAAATGTTGAATGAATGTTTCTGAACTTTTACTATCCATAAATATCTCAGAAATCATTAGACCTTCAGAAATGCTCTCCAGCATGTCAAATTTGTAGGCATGTATGTCACCATTAAAATCATGTCTTTCCTGTTTCTCTTACCATAAATTAAATGAAGTAGATTGTTTACTTTAGTTCGACAAGTATGGAACACTTACCATGTGTAAAGCACTGGGCTAGATTCTGGGAGTAGGCATGATACTGCTCATTACCACTTGGGAGAACAAACAGAAAACCAAACCAACTTATAAGATGGGAAGGAAGATAAGCAGAGCTACCCCCAATATATTTAGATTCATCTTGATTTTTTTAGAAGCAGGCACTTTTTTATGTCTAAATTTTGTGGTTACCTGAAAGAGCTATCTACGATAGGAGAAAATTCTGAATAAATGGAGCTATTTATCTGTGTGGGTATATATTACAGCTGTATGTTCACTGTAGAAAGCACAGACTCTGTGACACCAGCCCTGATATCAGTTTCCCTACATTAAACCCAGCATATATGGGGTTAAAACCAAAAGCACTCCTCCACTTCCTCTGCTTCTCTAAGCTACAGTCATATGTAAATGTCAGTTTTTTAAACCTTTGTATCCCTGAACTTCACAGGGCAAATAGAAGTTATGAATGGTTAGAGCCCAGGTGGCCTCATGCTAACATTTTGGCTGCTTTCCAGTCCTTTGAAGTTTTATTACAGGGAAACTGATATCCAGAGACTATCAAGAAGTGGAAGCTGGGGGCTGGCTGGGTGGTGCAGTGGTTAAGTGCGCACATTCCACTTCGGTGGCCTGGGGTTCACCGGTACAGATCCCAGGTGTGGACATGGCACCACTTGGCACACCATGCTGTGGTAGGCATCCCACATATAAGGTAGAAGAAGATGGGCACAGATGTTGGCTCAGTGCCAGGCTTCCTCAGCAAAAAGAGGAGGACTGGCAGTAGGTAGCTCAGGACTACTCTTGCTCAAAAAAAAAAAGAAGCTAAAGCTTCCCACACCCCAGTTCCTTGGCTTCCTGGCACCATAATCCACCATCCACTGTGGAGGCAGACAATGAAGGATATTCACCTGTGGATTCCCTTATCTCACCATCCTCCTTCCTACAAGCAGCCTCTCAAGGCCAACCGCAGGCTGGTGGGAAGGCACGAACCAGCAAGGTCACGTGCTTCCCCTCCTCTACCTAAAACCTTAAACAAAAACCCTACCTTTTTTCCTTTGAGCAAGTGGATCTGAGTTCTAACAAACTCCCATCTCCTTGTCTGGCGGTCTTTCCTTGTCATAAACCTGGTGTTCCCATTTTTATTTTGGTATCTTTCTTGTGTGTCAGGTAAAAGAACCTGTGTTTGGAGCCGGTAATATCCAGAGTTTGGGAAACCTCGGCTTGAGTCTGTAATCCACTATTTACTAGCTGTTTGACTTTGGGCAAATTAGTTATAGTACTTTTTTCATCCGTAAATTGATGATAATAACACTGACCTCATTGGGTTGTGGAAGGACTAAACACCAATGTATAATAGGTGATAAAACTGTTCATTATCTTTTTATCCTGTCCCTTCATTCATCACTAATTTTACATTGGAAATTCAGCTTTTAATCACCATTGGCCTTGGAGTGCCGCCATGATAGGCTGTCATACCTCAAAGTTGACACTTTCCAGATTGGCCGGAACACGGTATGGATTACTTGCTTTACTGCTTTTGACAGTTTTACATATTCCTCCAGTGAAAGAGTTAGCAAGGACTTCTCCTCTGGGCTCTCCTGCCAGAAAATGAAACCTAGAAACAAAGTAATTTTCAAGAATTCAATAGATGTAGAGCAATCTTTAAAATTTACCTTACTTATATGAAAGAAATTCTTCTTTTAGACACTTTTGACTCATGACGAATGACTTGAAGGAAACCCCATTTTTTCTAGTCTATAGTGAAGCATCCAGAAAGGGCTGGAAGCCAAAACTCAACCCTTTTGGCTCTGTTAGATCTCCTTATTCCACTCACTTAATTGTTGTCGGCTTCCAACATGAAATAAAATTTGAGTTTATAATTATTTCATGACTTACAAAGCCAGTGCAAACTTTGGAAGCAGATTATGAAACAAATGATCACATAGTTAATGCCATTCTGGGTCCACTTCCTTCTGTATGGTACAATAAAGGAATTCTCATAGAGAGTTAATAATGAGATAGTAATAGCAATATTTTAATAGAATGGTAATAATATTACTATTGCTTTATTAGTAACTGTAATAATATTTAAAATTTATTTAACAAACGCTTACATACTATTACTATAAGTCAAGCACTGCTTGACCTATATTTAATATTTATTATATTTATTTAATATTCATTATAACCATGTGATGTAGGCATAATTATTATACCTATTTTGCAAAGGAGGAAGTTGAAGCACACAGAGATTAATTAGCTTTCACAAACCAAGTATTTAAGAAATTGTTCTGTGGTAGATGAAAAACTTCACCAGGGTGCTAATAGTTTTCCAAATTCTTATAGGTATTTTTGTTCTGTGAAAAAAGGAAGTTTTTTTGACAAAAATTTTGGTAATATTGGATTACATGTGATGAGATAATGGAAAATATATCTAACGGTCCCTGCTCCCAGTTCCTGGCACAGAGTTCCTAAAATTCTTGTAATTTCCTGAGTGAGAAGAGCACCAGCAGCATCTTTTGTTCTAATATTGGTCTTGAACCCTAGTTCCTGCCACAGGGCTCCTAAATCCATTGGAATTTCCTGAGTGATAGCAGTGTCTTTTGTTGCAATGAGGTGACTTTTGGTGGGCTCCTGGATAACGGTGGGTCGCCAGAAAGACCAAGCCATGATTAGAAGCTTGGCTTTTGCAGCTTCACCCTCCATTCTCCAGAGAAGGGAGAGGGCTGGAAATGGAGTTAATGATCCATCATGCTTACATGATGAAGCCTCCATAAAAATCCCAAAAGTACGGGGTTCAAAGAGCTTCCGGGTTGGTGAACACACGGAGGTGCTGGGAGAGTAGTGCTCTGAGAGAGGGCATGGAAGCTTCACGCCCCTTCTCACATATTTTGCCCTACTCAGCTCTTCTATCTGGATATTCATCTGAATCTTTTATCATATCCTTTGATAATAAACAAGTAAACAGTAGCTAAACTGTTTTACTGAGTTCTGTGAGCCACTCTCAGCAAATTAGTCAAACCCAAGGAGTGAGTTGTTAGAACATCTGGTATGTCAGAAGCACAGGTGACAACCTGGACTTGAGCGTGGCATCTGAAGTAGGGGGCACAGTCTTCTTAGACTGGGCCCTTAACCTGTGGGATCTGACACTGTGCCCAGGTAGATAGTGTCAGAATTAAGTTAAATTGTAGGACACCCAGCTGGTGTCAGAGAGAATTGCTTGGTGAGAGAAAACCTCACACATCTGGTGTCAGAAGTGTCATGAGTATGGTAGTAGTGTGAGAGTAAAAGAGGCACACAGGAGGAGAATTTGTATGCGAGTTACATCTCAATAAAGCTGTTAAAAAAAGAAGTGATTCCTGTGGGTTCTGTAAGATGCACCTCATACTCAGCTGCAAGCATAATTTGAGGTTCATTCGCATCCATATTTGAGTTTGTATCAATAGGTATCTTAGGGACGAAGTATGAGAAGCTGGTCTGGGAAGAACTTTCTAAACTGCTTAAGTTAGCGCAACAGACACAAGTGTTCAAGACATTCATTTTTGTTTTCCGAGTTAAGTGGGATCAATGAGGGAAAAAAGAACTGTTGAACTCAGACTACCACATGCTGTTTACTTATTGTGTTTGTCGCAAACAAGAAAGGGCTTGAGAAAAATGGGTCCCAGTTCGTAAGGAATCTGTGAAGGTAGCAGCTGCTTGCAGAGAGCCTGAAGACAGGATTTTTGTGCACGTGGCTCTATCAGAGCATGCCTGAGGACTCTTTTAGGTGTTAAGTAAACTATGCAGCAATTTTCAGCTCTATTCTTTCTCCTTCTGTCTGTGGTATTGAAATTGACTTTAAATATTTTGGTGTTTCAAATACATCAAGGCCTTTAATATTTTAGTTTTCTAAGTTGCTTTTATCTAATTTGACATTATGTGTCATATCTTGTAACTTTTTGAATAAAAAATTATATATATAAAAATATGCATTTGTGTGCATGTATGTATGTGTGTGTGTGAGTGTGTGTGTATGCATTTGTACCTTAGCTGAGCGTGAGAAAAAACAAACAGTATGCTATTATTGCCTGATTCTTCCTTCAAGTTTTAGACCCGGTGACTGATGTTGGCAAGGTAGGAAAGTTGGTACGTCTTGTTAAATTCTTTCTTGGAGAGATGCCATTTAAAAAGAGGTACAGCCACCCAGGAAGCTATCTTTTGTGGGTAGACATGTGTAGGAGAGGGGGCAGAGATTCTGAGGCCAGCAGATTAGAAAGAGATTCCAGTAAGCAGTTCTCAAAACTCCCAGTCCCTGGGGAGGCAAGCAGAGGACTGGCTGTCCTGGAGCCAGCAGGTTTTGCTCATTTCTGAGAATCCTTGGAACAACAGCTCTGGTTGGCAGAGGGCCACATGGTCCTTCTGCCAAAGTACACACAGCATGTGGTCCTCCCCATCTGCAACTCTAGAGTCTAGACCAACTGAACAAGAGGTGAGTTTGGAATGTCACCCCTCATCAATCAGAACATTAGAAAATGTGATTATCAGTGGGAGTTTTTGGCTGAGGTTTTCTTTCCGGGGAAGGAAAAAGAAGGAAACCATTTCTGCACATTGATAAGATGTTGTTGAAACACCCTCCTTGAAATCAACTCTAATTAGGAATTCTTAGGGCAGAACTTCAAATCGGTTCGTAGCTATCCAATATACAAATAAGGAAGCAGCAGCCCAGAGACATTCAATAACGTGGTTATGATATAGTGAGTTAGTGCAGAACTGTGGCTAAAGTCTGACTCCCCTTCCTTCCAGACTAATGGCTGTTCCATTTTACTGCTGTCCTTGAGTTTGTCCTTGAGTTTCTGGTTTTTATTCTAATCAAAAGAGATTGTATTTGCAACTGTTGCTGTTTGTCTTTTGTGCCCCAAGGTTTCATATTATGCCAGCCTGGCAGCATAAGTGAAGACTTAAAAAAGTCCAATGCAAAGCAATAAAAGCCGATAGCAAACTACTCGCTTTCTGCCCAAAAATTGAAGGGAGAATTCTTAACCATGGGAACAGGAGAGTACAGGAGATTATCTTTACTTATTTTTCTTATGCTTCCAACTAAGGCTAAGCTCTTCTGTGTTCATTGACTTCTCTTATATTTCCTAAAGTTTTCTAAGACATTGGCTCAGTCTAATGAACTTAGAATCCTTTGTCAAACCTCCAATGTCCTCATGATCTAAAATAGGAACATTAGAATTTCTGAGCACTATTCAAAGATTGAGAGGGTTGTGTGGTCTACCAAGGTTTCTTCCAGTATGTTTCCATTTCTAAAGCAGATGTAGTCCTGAATCATAGTGAGATGGTGGAAATAACCTGGGTTTTGAAGTCTGGATTCGAATCTTGGTTCTACCTTTCACTAGTTGGTAGATTTGGACAGGTTATTTAAGCTTCCTGAAGCTCAGTTTCCTGGTTTGTAAGTTGAGCGAGTAGAACTCAAGGGTAACACAGGTCTGACCTTCTGCCTTTAAACTGTACCGGAGTACCCATGCATCACACAGGCCATGTGAGAGGAAGCTCGGACCCCCTAGCCATGGTCACTTTACTTCTTGCTCTCTTACCTTTTCACACCATTGTTTTTTTTTTTTTATCACCCTCTTTTCTTGTTTGCCTAACTCCTTTCCTTCTGGCTTTGTCTCCCATTGTTAATTCAGAGCTTGCCTCTCACGCCTGAAGATGGTTTTGCTTCTTTAGTGCTTTGACTTTTAATAGAGTCACAAGCATACTTTTCTGATACCCTCGACCTCCATTATCAGTGAGAAACTGCACTTCTCTGAGTGGTTACTCACCCATTAAAGACCCAGTCCCAGGAATCCACCCTAGCACCTCCCAGCTTGGCTGGCCTCCCACCACTTTACCCTCATCCACTCCAGAGCTGTCAGAAGGATATATGAGAATTAAAACAAACAATATTTATGAAGGGCCTGTAACATTGCTGGCTAAACTAAGTATGAAAGTGCTAAGTTCTTTTATTCCCTAGGGGTGAGGATCCTGGCCACATGCTGCCTTAACATGGTAGCCAAGTGTCAAAGACAGGGCTGGTGGAAGTAGTAAGAGGATAATGAGGAAGATGGACAATGATGTGTCTCATTGTTTCATTGCTGCTTCTGACTCATTAGATCCGAGATGCCGCTACTGCCCAAAACAATGAAAAGATATTACATACCCAGTGCCCATCAACTGGACACTAGGGATGGGATCATACTTCCGTGAGCATACTGCTTTTTTTCTCCCACAATTCCTTTCATCTGAGTTGTCTCCACAGTCATTTTCTCCATTGCATTCTAACTTGCTGGCAATGCAGCGGCCTGGTCAAGAAAAACAAACAACAAGATTGACAACAAATGGTCAGTTATGAAAGCAATTATTGATTTGAAACATGCAAGCTTTAAATTTCAAGAGAAACTTGAGAGCAAGTTTTCATTATTTTTGGTAAAGATTTAGGAAATATGGAAATAGAGTGAAAAACTGATATTTTCCCTTATTTTTTAGGATAAGAGTCATTATAGAATTATTCAATCCTCATTGTGCTTATTGTCTCAAGTAAGAGAAACAATTCTAGAATCCCATTTTCACTGCAGTAAGCTTATTGCAGAAATCATGTTCTGTAGGAGAAAATTAACAGTAGGTTCAGAATTTGTTTTGCTTCAGGATAGCAGACTCAAGGTCACTGTTTTTATTCAAAAAACTATAATTTGACACCTACTCACAACCACAGGTACAAATAATACCATGGCTGAATCTCTAAAATTTTGTGTTGAGTGAAAGAAACCAGACACATAAGAGTCATGCCATGTGATTCCTTTAACTGATGTTAAAGAGCAAGAAGAGTGATTAACTGGAAAGAGAAAAGAAGGAACTTTTTAGGTTTACGGAAATTTTCTATATTAGGGGTTATTTACATGAGGGTATCCATTTGTCAAAATCAAATAGCACACTTATCTGTGTTTACTATATATAACTATACATCTTTTATTGTATATATTTACTATATATAATTATTGATCATGATTGTTTTACCATATATAATTTACTATATTTAACTATTTTTTGGACAAGTTAAATGCCTTGGTACTACAGCATTAGGTAGCAGGTTAAATGAGTAAATTTAGAAAATAGAACAAACTCCACATACTCAGATAATTCCCATCCTTTTTAAGCTTGCTGAATTTCATAAGGATCCTTGGAATCAGTGTGTACCCACATATTACGGAAACTGAAATGCCTTAGCTACTATGTACAGTGACAACCACTCTCCTGTCCCTCAGCTTCTTGCCCATAATCAGAGATGCTAACATCTGTACCATTATGTACAGGTCTCACTGGCAATGGTTAAATATTTTACTCAAGATTATCTGGTTAACTATTTTAAGTTGTGATCAGCATCTTATTACAGCTATGCACGACTATTTTGAGCAACTAAAGTGCTTGGGGAGATTGGGTATTCTGTTGAATTAAAGGATTTTTATTAATAGAGAGTTCCCCAGAAAGCATTTGGTTTCAACTGTTTTAGTCAATAATCTTCACTAAGTAGAGTGTAATGAAAGTAATTAAGTCCTCCTTTGATTATTTAAAACCTTGCATTGTATCCAGACCATTCCTATAAGGAATTAGAGTTATGGGCACCACAATCAAACAAGACTGAAAATATAGAAGGAATTGAGTTTCTGTCACTACAAGACATAATCTGAAAGATGCTCTGTTTTTGAAATAGCACATCTCTAGTTTTTTGTTTGTTTGCTTTTTTCAGGGCAGAACAGAATGGGTAATTTAGTTTGAAATAGAGATGTTTTTTTCTAAAGAATAAAAAAGAACAAATATTACATTTTTAAGAAGTTTTGAACCTGGCACTTACAAATTTAATCAAAAGCTAATTTTTGATATGATTATGCAAAAAGAATCCCATTTTGTGAGTAGAGGAATACACATGCAGGGTACAGTTCTCACCAACCTAGCTTTGTGAATGGGTATCAGACATGTTAGAATACAAGAGATTCTATCCACTTGGTACTTCTAGGGGTATTGGAGATGACCTATTAGCAAGGGTATGGATCAAAGCAGGAGGACACCTCTTGAGTAATGTTTATGAAAGTGTGGCAGGAGTGATATAGGTCTAACAGGGCATAGCTGAGAATGATTCCAGGCTAATGGAAACTCAATGAAATAGGAAGCACAGGGGAGAGAGACTGTAAGCCGTGAATACGTCCTATAGCAGAGAAGGAAAGGGAAAGCGGAAGGGCAGTTTGGATAGTGCAGGATTTGCAGAAGTCAGCGTGTTTTAGCCAGCACACACGTTTGTACATTTACAGCAGGAGCTATGTAATCATTTAGAAATTGTACGAGGTTTTCCTACTTACTTGAACTGATTTGTGTTACTGCAAGAGTTTATTATTTTTACTACCAGCGGCAAATTCTCTAGTCTTAATGCTTAAAATTGTGATTTTGAGAGAGCAGTTGGCATAGTACACGGGGATTAATCTCATGGGTAATTCTCAAAGGTCCATGTATACATTAAAATAATATATTTAGTCTTGGGGGACTCTGACTAGCAATCATGAGGGAGGAAAGGGAAGAGGGGAATGCTTTAGGATAGAGAGTTCTTTGTCAACTGAGGGCCAAACATCATCCTAAGTCAGACAAATGATGATCCATCCAACCTTTTATTCCCTTTGAGAGTGGCATTATTGGACGTTTTTAGAAGAGCACAGTAGCATATCACCTTCAGTGGAATATTTAACAACCAATAGGCCACGGCACAACCCAATGAGAATGGATGCCAACCACCATGCCAGGGATTAACTAGTTAGTGGCTGGGTCCTGGGAAGGTCTAGGTATTCCTGGGGAAGGGATCCGGACAGCAGGGTAAGGGTCACTAAGAGAGCTCTAGGTAGCAATTGCTTACCAAACATTATTGATGCATTTCAGTAGTTGAGTTTTTTATCACTTTCTGTGGGGATTTTGCTGATGAACTACAGATAAGCCATGCTTACACCACTAACTTTCCTGAAATCACTCATTATGAATTGACAGCCCATTGGTGTTTCTCAGGCCTTCTCAAACTTGTGAATATTTTTGACCTAAACAAAGCTCTTTTGTAATAAATTTCACAGATTATTTAACCATTGAATAAAGGACTTCTTCCTGGTAATTTGCTCTAAAAACTATCCTTCAAGGTTCAAATAGTTTTATTTCAGTTCTAAATCTTTTTCTTAACATTCTAGATGTATTGCTTAGGTCTGTATTCCCCTCAGCTATTGCCATCAAGACTTTTCTCATATTCCCTCTTTTGTCAACTTGTGAATGACCTTATTCGTGTAGGCATGATGTATATCTCCCTTCCCACATCCCACACTCGTATCTCAGGTTTGGAGGAGCACAGAGGGAAAACCCTGACGCCAACATTCCTATATGACATTCAGAAAAGATTGGAAAAGCTGAAGGGAGGAAGCAAGGAGTAAGAGGAGAAAAACATTAGATCCAAGGTCTGGGGTCAGTTTTCTATGGGATTTGAGATCTGCTATCTTATTATAAATATTTTACTTTTCAATGTATTCCAGACTACACAGAAATGGTATGGATTTTACTCATCTTAGCTCTGCTTTTATGTTAACTTCAAATTGACTATTTAGATAAGAAGTCAGTGAACTATGGCTGATGGGCTAAAACTGACCTGCTGCCTGTTTTCATAAATAAAGTTCAAATGGAACACAGCCGTGCTCATTTGTTTATACACTGTCTACGGGAGCTTTGATGCTACATTGCAAGAGTTGAGTAGTTGCAACATAGACTGCATGGCTTACAAAGCCTAAAATATTTACCATCTGGACCTTTACTGAAAAAACTTACAGAAACATGATCTAGACTGTTCAAAATGATGGCCTTCAAGAGCTATTAAGAGGCAAGAGAATACATATGATTAAGCAGTATATTCAAGATTTGATCATAATCTAATGATACTTAAATATCAGAATTTATGAATTTGAATGAGTATTGGACTTGGGAATGTTGCCACTGTTTAAATCATTTTCAATCTTCTCTTTTGAAATTACCTTTGGAACCATTTGATGGACCCTGAAGAAAATTTGTTAGATCATCTCTAGTCATCCCCCTGACATAGTATCTTAATATTTTATTTTAATAAATTATATTGAAAATCTTTTTAATCCATCATTCCTTTTCAATTGCTTATTTTGATTATAGGTTTATGCATATTAATAGCCAATTTCTAAAAGTAGCTGCCTACTCGTCCTTTTCTTCCTCCTCTTCTCTCCTCCTCTTGCTTTGTAGCAGTGTGGGGACTTGGGCACCAATACTTGATGAGCAAATGAACCAGGTAACTGGTCAAGATGATTATAGTTTGACAGCTATAATTTCACACATAAATAGCTTGGTAATTGGTAGCATAACACCCCCGTCTCCCCATGCTTAAAATAAGGTGGGACTTCTCTATCATGGCTTTTATTGGTAGTCAGTTGGAATAACTCTATTTAGTCAAGTCGTTTTTAATAGAGGCTGAACATTTTCCAAAAGTACATTACCACTGTCACAGCGGAATTTATTCTTGCAGTCAATCTCTTCGATTTTGCAGAGCTTGGACGGAATGCATGGTCGAAAGGTCATCAGGGGCTCCGAACATGGTTGTCCCCCAAACTGACTGGGCTGCAAAATGGATCTAACCTTAAACTGAAGGGAAAGGAGAGAAAGGTGAGTCACGGTCAAAGCCAAAACATATCTGAGAAAACTTGGCTTCTCAATCACAGTAGTGATTTTTCCTAAGTGGTGTTTCCTAAATTAACTAATGACTTTTCCAATTCCATTATTGTGTGTGCTTACGGAAGTCATCACTTCTCTGAGCCTCAGTTTTCCAAACTGTACACTAAAGAAGTGGGGTAAAAAGGATTTCTAAGACTTCTAACTCTGAAATCATATGAAAATAAATAGAATCAAAATTAAATGCAGAAATATTTACTGAGAGTGTCCGAGTACAGTAAATTCTTCCAGGTAATAACAATGGCTCTTCTATATCTCAAGGAGAGTGTGAAGTGATAAATGTGAAAGGATGTGGGGGTTCTTTTGCATAAGGAAGTCACCATGGAAACCAAGGTTGACACATTCTTAACAGCTGAAAAGAGTGAATAGTAAAAGAGTCAGGGAATGATAGAAATATGATAGGATTAAAAAGTACTGACTTTAAAATCAGAAAAATCTAAGTTCAAAATGTAGCTCCTCAGTGCTATATTCTTGGGCAGATTGCTTAACACCTAACGAGCTATGACATCCTGACCTGAAAAATGGGTAGAAAAACACAATGTGATGTGAAGTTTGAATCAGGTGATGTATGTAAAGGGCCTACAAAAATTTCCCTCAGAGATGGAGTGCTCCACAAATAAGTTTCTTTTTCTTCCCTGATGTGAGAATTCTCAGCACCTGCCCTGACTGGAGTCCACATGGGCCACCGCCCTTACAGGAATGAACTTGAGGTGGGTAAATAGTGCAGCTGGGAACAGTAAACAAATTGAGGGACTTTCCCCCAGGGAGAGGGCAACTGGAGGAAGGGCCAGGAGTCAGGCTGTGGATTGACATCCCTCATTTCCATCCGATTTTAAAGCTTGGACTGAAATCTCCATTGTCTAGCCCTTGCTTGTGCTTTCTCAGCTCTCAGAGAGCACAGGCAGTGGAACTCAGAGCTGGGCAGGTGCAATACCAGTACTGGGGACAGAATTTCCTTTTGTTGGTTGCAGGACAGGAAAACATGTAAAATGAATCCTCCCCCACAACTCTCCAAAATTGTTAAATGGAATTTTCTCTCAATGGAAGCTAGGACAGTTTGTTTTCAGAAATTGAAGAAATTCAGCATTTCTGTGATTATTGAGCCTGTCAGGGAACAAAAGCCATTTTATTGTGATTCAGATTTCCTGAATATGCCCATATGGCCCTTACCTGTTTTTCAACACAAGGATCACAATCTGACCAAGGTCCGTAATCTCCCAGGAGGCAGTTGATAGGACAAGTTTGCCAGTTACATTCTCTAGTCTCCTGCTTGGTGCAAAGCTGGTCACAAGAGTTATCCAGATAGTACTGATCTATTACTATTTGTCTATAACAGTAAGGAAAAAACTACTTAGAATGAGTGAATTCACTGGGACTCCAGCCCCATAGGAAAAATATTGTCGAGAATTAACTACAGTGAATAAAAGAAAAGAAGGTTTTCATGGAAAATCAGGCAGGTTGGCATGTGTGCAGTTCTTACCACTCAGCAGAACTCAGGATTGGGTGCATAATTTGTGGGGCCCAGTGCAAAATGAAAACGGGGGGCGTCTTACTCAAAAATTATTAAGAATTTCTAGACAGTGATGGCAGAGCGTTAAGCCAAGCGCAGAGCTCTTCTAGGTGTGGGGTCCTGTGCTACTGACAGGTCACACATCCATGAAGCTGGCCCTGATGGAATTCCTGGAAGGGACTGGATAGGAAAGAAAAGAGAAGAAAGTTCCTGCAAATTGCTTAAAAGATGATAACACAATGTGATAAGTATAATGATTGAGATGGAGTCAGAGTGCTGTGGGGCCAAAGATTCAAACAGAATATGACATGAGAGATAGATCTTGAAAAATTCATATGAATTCTTCAGGCAACAAAGGAAAGGCTATGTGGAGGGGACAGCATATGCAACAGTTGAAGATGGAGGAGCCTGACGTGTCCATGGAGGAGCTTGTGCGCTGGGCCTGAGAAGTGCGTGGTTGAGAGGGACTGGATATTTGTTGCACTTTATTTGGTAGGCAGTAGAGAGCTACTGAGGGACTCTTGAGTAGGGGAGTATTATAAACAAACCTGTTTTTACATACTTAGTGGATGGTTTATTGGGGAAGTCAGTGGGTGATTTTAACGAGACTCACACTACATAGGCAAAAATAGTTTTCTAAAATAGGTCTCTAAAAAGTGCTATAATGGTTAAAACACATTAAATATATGTCTTTCTCCCCCATGTCATGTGAGCATCTCCATGGACCAGAAACATCTAACAGATTTAAAGAAACCGATTTAAAGAAATGTGGGGGACAAGTAGTCTGAATTGGTGAAAAGACTGAATTATTAAATGCCATCAAGTAAACATAGTTTTCTTGCCTTCTTGTGCATGCCAACAATCAAGCTAATAGCTAACAGTGCCACTCAATTGAGGTTCCGTTAGACTCGGTTTAATAAGTAGAAAATTCTCTATAATGAACTCACTAACTGCACGCAAGCAGAGTTATATGCTGATTGAAAAAAAGCTTGAGTGGTGAGTCTAAGTAAGTTAAATAGTCAACTGAAGATATTACACAGATTCCTAATTAAGTTTTTTTGAAACTCTTCAATTTTATGGAGAGAACAAAAGTAGACTTCATTTCAACCTTATATGGAAAAGACCTCAAATTCCATCCAAATTCACGAGTTCTCACTTTAAGATATTGTTTTTTTTCCCATTGCTTAGTGTGGCATTTTTGATATTGCTAACTCTGTCCTCCAGGGTACCCAGGGCACAAAGGAAAGCTACATAGCTCACACTCACCTCCATCTGCTCTGGGTTCCAGAATTGCAGGTCTTTGAGCAGCTAGACCACTGAGTCCATGGGTAATGATCACAGAAACAGGCCTGGCTCTTGTCAATCAGAGCACTCAGCAGGATGAAATACAGGATGGAGTGTCTGGCCATGCCTTGAGAGCCCCCAGGCCCTGAGGAGGAAGGATGTAATACATATCCAACCTTATCGGGGTAAAACTTTACAAGTTATTTTCAATTACAGACTCGAATATGATCTTAGAAAACATCAGCATCTCCCTGCCTTCCTTAAGGCAAGTTAACACCTATAAATTCACATGCTCATGAGTACAAATCCTATTTCTTAGGGTGGGTATTCCCATAGTTACAACCTCCAGGACTAGTAAATTTCTCTGAACTGTTAGTGATAGACTGTAAGACAAAATATGTAGTATATGTTTGTATCCTATTTCATTCCAAAATGGAAATTCTTATATAATCTTATACTTTTCAAAACAGCTGCTCATTTTCTGTGGGTAGTACCCTCAAGTACCTTTCAACTTTGATACTTTTCCGGGACTGAGGAAGGAGTTTGGACCATTCCTCTGGAAGCTTTATTTAGCTTCCCGGCATCCTGGAAACCCGCTAAAGAGAGAGTTCACTGTCCAACTGTCTCTACGTATAGGGTCACAGAAATCAGAGCTGGAATGGATCTTTGAAGCTTCCAGGTTAAGCTCCCTCATTTTATGGATGATGAAACTGAGGCTTAGGGAGGTGCGGGAATGGTGAGGCTACATGCCAAGTAAGAGCCGAAGACTCCACATTCTTGGATGAGGTGCGTGGCTGCATTGAATTTCTAATAACACCAATAATTGTGTTACTGGCTCATCTGGATGCCTAGAGCTCCACCACCCAGGCCACAACAGCGTTTATCCAGCTGTGGCTGCACGCTGGAGAAAACTTTGACCAGTGATTTCCAACGGTGTGCTGTGGAACCTTGAGGATCTGTGAATTATTGAAAGGAATTTTCAAAACCATCTCTGCCTCCCAATATTGTTATTTTGATCTTTACATCTCTAACAAAATATGCAACATGACTAGATAATATAGAAAATGCTGCTGTAATTAATATTTAATTTTTATTTAAAGAAGTAAAATGCCATTCATCTAATTTCTCTATGTCTCAGTTTTATTATCTATAAAATAGGAATAATACTTTTACCTTCTTCATAAGGCTTTTTAAGGATTCAGTGAGAAAATTCATGTAAAGTGCTTAGAATAACCATTGGCATAAAATCATACCTCAATAAATATTAGCTTTCAAATTAGCAATAACACTTAAAAGTGTTACAAATTTAATTGTAGCTGTTAGTCATGCATTTTTCAAAATTAAGGGCTCCTCAAATTACAACAAGCATCACGTGAAGATAGAAAATATATTTTGATGTTAAGTAAGGTTATTCATATTCAAAGTGATTTAGAAATATGTCCTTAGTCGCTTTTCATCTCACAAATAAAATAGGATCTCCGACCATCTTATCTGAAATTGTAATTCCCACCAGTTTCCTATCTCCTTCACTGCTTTATTTTTCTGTTATATATCTCCCCCTAATGTATAAACTAAGTTTAAATAAATAGCTCCTCTTTCTTTTCTCTTCTTTCACTAGAATGTAAACACCATGGCAGTTAATCTTTTTTTGTCCATTTTGTTTATTTCAGCATTTAGGAGAATGAGAGCAAGCATCGTATATAATGAATAAGTATTGTTGAACTGGTGGAGTGTAGGACAATGTTTAGAAATGGGTTTTAATGAAATCTGAATAGTGTAATTTGGGTCCATAATTATGGCCACTTCTGTAATACTATTTTTTTTTTTTAAGGATTGGCACAACTGTTGCCAATCTTTTTTTTCTTTTTTCTGCTTTATCTCCCCAAACCGCCCCCCGTATGCAGTTGTATATCTTAGCTGCAGGTCCTTCTAGTTGTGGGATGTGGGACGCCGCCGCAATGTGGCCTGACGAGCGGTGCCATGTCTGCGCCCAGGATCCGAACCCTGGGCCACTGCAGCGGAGCACGCGAAATTAACCACTCAGCCACGGAGCCGGCCCTGTAATACTATTCTTAAAATTTCTGTCAGATTAAGGATATTTTCTAGACTTTTGGGAAATGAACTCATCTGTTCAATTGTTATGCATCATTTTAGCAAGAGTGATAGTTTGCAGTATAGCTGGTTTAGCTTTAGTTAGTTGTAATAGTTGATTGAAATAAAAAACTAGGCCTCTTGAGATACAGCTTTACTTTTAAAACACTTGTAATTTGTTTAGTCAGTACACTTCTTATTTATTTGATAACATTTGTTGTGTTCTAAAATATACAGTGGACCGGCCCAGTGGCGCAGCAGTTAAGATTGCACGTTCCACTTCTCGGCAGCCCAGGGTTCTCTGGTTCGGATCCCAGGTGCGGACATGGCACCGCTTGGCAAGCACCATGCTGTGGTAGGCATCCCACATATAAAGTAGAGGAAGATGGGCATGGATGTTAGCTCAGGGCAAGTCTTCCTCAGCAAAAAAGAGGAGGATTGGCAGTAGTTAGCTCAGGGCTAATCTTCCTCAAAAAAAAGAAAAAAATATATAGAAATCTATGATGAAGAAAATTAAGATGGCTTATAATGTAACCAACCAGAAAACTTCTATTGACATTCAAAAAATACAAATAATGTTCCCATATTTGGAAATTTTAAACAGAACAGAAAGAAAAACATAAGGCCTGAGTTCTCTTCTACCTGTAGCCAGAACCTCTCCCCACACATAATCACTGTTTTCTCTTTTTATAGGTAACCAAAAGAGGGAAAATTCTCCCATACATCACCTTACACACACACATGCATGCATGTGGTTTAAATACATACACGAAAAAGAGGAACCATGATGTATGCTATTCTGTACTTTGCTTTCTTCTCTTCAGAGTATACATTGAAGATCTTTCCATATTAATATATGCATATCTACTTTATTCTTTTTAATGGCTGCATAATTTTAGACCATATGGATGTATCATATTGGATTTAACCATTATCCTATTTGCAGACATTTAGTATAGACACACACTGCAATAAACATCTTTGTATTACATCCTAGCATACTTTTGTATTATATCCATTGGACCAACGGGTGTATTCCTAACAATAGAATGGCTCAGTCAAATGATATGAAATTTAAGATATTGATAGATATGCCAAATTGCCCTAACGAATGTCTCAGAGGGTGAGTTTCTGGTCATATTTTAATGTGGTCATTTATGTTTCTCAGTTGTGATGAAAGGATATTTCAGTAAAAAAAAAAAAAAAAAACTGGATTCATCATTTTATAAATCTTCACTCAAGCCAAGAGTTTGAAATCGGATATAAGAACTGTTTCTCCAATATGCTCAGAAATTAGAACATTTCTTCTTAATAAATCAGTAAGCTTTCTGAACTCTCCTACAAGCTCAGAGAAAAATGCTAGAATAAAAGTGACCAAATCCGTTGACATATGGCTGAATGTGTCCTTCAATTTAAAATGGAATCAACACACGTTTGAGTATCTATTGTGTGCTGCTAGGCGTTGAGTGAAATACAAAGAAATAGAATCCATTATCACTGTCTGCAGAGGGTAGACGGCAACTGAAGATGCTTCTCAGGCTTTTTATCCAAACTTTCTTATCCAACTCATAGACAAGCTACTACAGCCCTAGGCTATTTCAATCATAAAAATCAGAGGCTCCTTTAAAGATTGCTGAGCTTGCCTACTGATTTTAGTTCACTGATAAGTAACTTACCTTTCCTGGTTTTCCTCAACAGCATAGAACCACAGGACATTGGGACAAGACTGTCCAGACAAAATTTAGGCAGTGATCAGACAGAATAGTGTGAGTCCTAATCATCAGACTCAAGTCCAGACTGGGTGGTTTTTCGCTGGCTTCGGGGCCCTTGGGAGCCAAGGCTCCTAGACAATGTGAAGTCTCCCCGTTAACTGCTAGACAGACCACCACCCCATCCCCCCACCTCCAAATTGGGATCTTCTTATACACAAACCACTTCAACAAAGAAACCTAAACAGAGGGGTTTTTATTGTGGTTTATTTATTTGTTTTTTCTTATTAGATTTTAAACAGATAGCTATCTTCCAGAATAATTCCTTCAATTGTAGGCAAAACAGATTCTTAGAGCATTTTGTGGAATCAGCATGTAAATGAATGGGAGAAGTTGAATTACCAGAGATTACCAGTTCTCAGTTCTCAGCAGACACTATCTGTTTTAACTTCCAAAGCTTGGAAAGTATATGTGGTTTTTATTCCAATTCTCATCAAAAACTGCAAGGACAGAATTCTTATACAATATCCTGATCTCTTCTTTGACTATAACTGTTTTGAGGCAATTTGGAAAATGCTATAAATTAAGACGATAACATCAAAGCTTCTTATTTTAGGAGATGCTAATAAAAGAGCTAACTGGTACCTTTTCCTTTTATAACATTTTATTGTTATGAGGAAAAATTGTTTTATGTTAAAAGGATAATTTTCACTCAAATAAAGATAATTACTTCTCTATTTTTTTAATTTCCATGGCCCAGCATATAATATCAAATGGTTCCTTATTTATTCATTTCCAACATCTCTAGGCATTTTGGAGACATCTGAAATTACATGTGGGCATTCGACCCATTACCAAACAAACATGGAACAAAAGAATGTTCAGTGAATAGAGGAAGAAAGGAAAAACCTTCCACTGCAGTATCATGATAGAAGAGCAGCAATTCTGCAGTTTTTTTATATTTGCCATTCCCTCTTGAACTCTAAAAATCAGTGGGCCCATTGAAGATGGCTTTGTGAGCATTTAGAGAATTCTAGCATAGAGTGAAGTCCATCTTATTCTGACCTGTCACGTTTAGAAGTACTTGAGTCACATGAAAGATTCGTCCATAAAGCAGTTCGGCACATCTTACCCGACAGGTTCAGAGGATGCTCTAGTTTGCCCCCAACTGCAGGTTCTTCCTTTTCGTCTCCTTGTAAATGTCTCGAATCCCTTATTTCTTATTGTTTTCTTTTGTGCATGCCCCAGAGGCTCGAGAAATGATATTTACCGTTGCTAGGACAGGCTGGGGAGCCCAGGCACATGACTGGTCCTTTGGCTAAAGGTTATGTTTGCTTTACTTCTAACTGTAGTTTAGCTCATAGAAAAACTTGATCTTAACAGGGTAGCTCTCTGGCAGGATATTTCTTTAAAAGACATAAACCTTTGGTTCTTTTGAGATTTTAGCAAAGTAGTTATTTCTTCTTTTAAAAGAAAGACAAAGAAATGGCTATAATCTGAGTTATGTATTTTAATGCAAGAAAGAGTAAGTTTGTTGGAAACACAATCTACAATTCTGAAATATTAAGGTTACAAATGAAATCATGATGTCACTCACCTTTAAACAGAGTTTGTGGTGTCCGGAGAGCTAATCTGCAAATAGCTGTGGAAACAATAGGTATTCACAATGAAAAGAGTTTATATGAAAATCCAAACAAACTTTCTTTCGCTATTGCTAGCTAACACAAGACAATGCCATTATGTCCCAGAGACCCAACACCACCTAGAGTGTTGTCAAAACAAACGTTCTGTGGAAACTCTGGACTTTGCAAATGATTACTTCAATCAGCAGTAATCCTGAAACTCTGAGCAAGATTTTACACAGGGGCCTGAATTTTCAATGATTTTCCCGTTCAAGAGCTATTGCAATACATATTGCTGTTGCAGGGAAAGAAATCTCTGACTCTATTTTTAAAAACCCTTTAGAATAAATTGCTTAAAATTGCCTTCCCCTTTAGGAATGCGTCCATTTAATTGAAATATGTACAGATTCTTACTTTTTTCTGATTCTAGAATATTTATTGAGGAACATTTAGAAAATATGGAAAAGCGTGAAAAGGAAAATTAAAATCATTTTTCATAAACAGACAAAACTGCTATTAATATTTGGAGTAAATACTTTCAGTCATATAACATATATATGTGTGTCTCTCTAAGTGTACACATGAACACACATACATATGTAATTTTTTAAATGACGTCATACTTTTTCTAAAGATTTCAATGCACAGAATTGATCACATTCCATAGTTTACGGAACTATATCATCATTGGTCTGTGTAAGGTCTTCTTTTACCCTTTCTTCACTATTTCACCCCAAGATCTGGTTTCATTTCTTTTCCCAGATTAGTTACAAGTGTTAATGTATTTGATGATTGTCCTTACATAGGATTACTTAGATATATGTGTATCCTTCAAAAATACAAAGTCTCATTTTCCACGTGTATTTTGGTAACTTACATAAGTGGTATTTTGCTAAAAGTTTTATTTGATTTCTTGCTTTCTTCATTTAACATTATGCTTCTGAGCCTTACTCAGTGTAAATCTACTGCAGCATGCACATTCGGTGTTATCAATGGTATTTTACTTATCCACTCTTATTGTCCACTTTTATTGCCTTCAACTCCCTGCAACTCTAAACACAATATACTCTTTCCTTGTGAACCTGTGAGAAAATTCCTAAAGACTTCCAGGTTGCTTTTAGAAAAATTATACACGTCTATACTCTTACCAGCAGCCTGCAAGGGCTTCTCATTAGTGAGTTCTTACTAGCATTTGTTGTTTGCCAACCTACTGATGTTATATCTGATGTATGTAAAGTGGTATCTCCTGGTTATTTAATCAGCAGGTCTCTGATCAATAGTGCACTTCAGCATCTCTGTATTCTTGCCAGACATTCTGTTTTCCTATCTGTGAATTAACAATTCACATTTTCTGTCTATTTTTCTATTGTGCTTCTTTACTGACTTTTGTTAACTGATTTTCAGGTGTGCCCTATACATTCCAGGTGTTGATGCCTTGTAAGTGTTGGATTTTGCAGATTTCTTCTCTCAGTCTGACACCTATGTATTATTTTTACCTATGGTGTCTTTGATCGAAGAGAAAAATCTTAATTTTAATGTAATCAAATTTGTCTATTTTCCCTTGATAGTTTTTGCTTTGGATAGTTTTTTCTTTTGCTTAAGAAATTACTTTGTTTAAAAAATCTGAAGTCACAGATACGTTCCTAAATTTTCTTCAGTTAGTATTATAGTTTTATATTTCAAAAGGAGTTCTTTAATCCTCTGCATTTATACTGTATTTTTATAAATGATGTAAGGTAGAATAAAGTAAATGAAACTAAAACCAAAAAACTTATTCAATAGATGCATAAAAACATTTAGTAAAACTCAACACTTACTCAAGATAAAAAATTTCTTCAAATTAGGAACAGAAAATAACTTTCTTAATCTGACAGAGTGTCTCCAAAAAACTTGTAGCTTACATCAGAGTTAACAGGAAAATATTGAATCTTTTCTTCATTAGATCAGAAAAGAGATAAGGATGCCTATTATCACCACTTTTATTCAATACTGTGCTGGAGTTCCTATCCAGTGACACAAGGAAAGAAAAGAGATAAAAGCCATGACATTGAAAAGAAAGTAAAGAAAATGATATTACTTGTAGACAATATGATTGTGTATGTGGAAAATTCAGAATAATCTATAGACACGTATTAAAAGTAATAATTTAGTAAAATTACTTGATACAAGTTTATTACAGAAAAAAATGTTTTCATATATCAGCAAAACCAAATAGAACATTTAATCTGGAACATTTCATATAGCAATGGTCAATCATCTTCTTTATATCTAATGATAATTATGCTTCTATGAAGGGTTCGCAATACAGTTTGAGATTGGCTAATATAGATTTTATGCTAAGGTGAAACAGAACAAAATAGTGCAACAGAAAAAAGACAACTATAGGGATCAGGAATGTGGACACCTACATTTTACCCTTGATTCTGTAATAACCAGCTACATAATCGTCAGCAAGTCGCTTTACTTTGTGGAAACTCTTTCCTCTGGTAAAATAACTATGTTTCACAATTTTTTTCAAAACAGTAGAAAACTTCTTTTAAAAGTATCAATTATATTCTCAGTTTGGAAAACAGCGAAAAAAATATTTCTTAGCTGAAATTTTCACCATGCAGTGGAGAATGATTATCTCAGCGAGTCTAAATATTCTTCGAAGCACAGCTGGGAAACCACTATTCTAAAGTAACACATTTTAACACGCATGGTAGCTACTTGTCCACAACCTGAGTAAGTCAGGAGTCTCACTTACAGTTTCTTTTCTTTCTCCTGTACTGTATGAAGAATTTAGAGACTGGAATTTCAGGCTAAGAAGGAAAGTCGAGTGGTGTGCCACAGACCAGCGCTGAAGACCCTTTGGGGTTGGGTTAGCAGTTTTACGCTTGAGTATCTGAGAAAATAAGTAGAGAAAATATTTGGTGACTGGGCAAGAAAAAACATTTCATTTAAGCATGTTCACTTCTTTTTTCTAGTTGGTTATCTGAGGTCCTAAAATTAAATACATTTTTCCTAAAGTCATTGTGTTTGCAGCTAAGTGCAAATGCTAGAAGACAACCTAGAGAGATGAAAGTCAGGAGCCAATAGGATGAGCCTACACAGGGTTTTTTGTTTGTTTCTAGAGAGGAAGGTTGGCTCTGAGCTAACATCTGTTGCCAATCTTCCCCTTTTTTTTTCTCCCCAAAGCCTCTGCACATTATGTACATCCTGGTTGTATATCATTCTAGTCCTGCCATGTGGGACGGTGCCACAGCATGGCCTGATGAGCAGGGCTAAGTCCACACCCAGGATCCAAACTGGCGAACCCCAGGCCGCCATGGCAGAGCCTGCAAACTTAACCACTCGGCCGTGGGGCTGACCCCTTACCCAGGGTTGTTAAGCAATGTGGACTATGAGGAGCACAGAGGGTGAGAAAGTTGTGTGCCATGGCACGGCAAAAACAGGTAGAGAGAATTGAATGTGGCATGGAGGAATTCTGAGACGGAGAGCAACTGCCTACGACCCAAGTACTGGAACTGACCTAGCATCTTGTGAGAATCTAGCGTGTTTTCTGTGATGTATTTGGGTCCCCCATCTTGGGTCCTCATGAATGGTTAAATGACATATCCCACTCAGGGTCATTTTCTGGAGCAGCCATTGAGGCAAATGTAGCCTGATGCTGTTACAGGCTCTTAACATCAGCCCTGATATCAGTTCCCCACATTGAACCCAGCGTATATGGGGTTAAAACTAAAACCCACCACCCCCTTTCCTGCTTCTCTAGCTCCACTCACATGTAAATACCTGTTTCTTTAAACTTGGACTCCTTGAGCTTTACAACTAAATGCGAGTCACAAATTGTTAACAGCCCAGGTGGCCTGGAGTTGGAGGCACACTAAAATTTAGCTAATCATGTGTCCTTGAAGTTTGCCAGGAAAGCCACTGTCTCAAGAAGATCAAGGAGCGGGGGCTTCCCAGACCTCAACTCCTGGACTCCCGGCGCTTGAACCCGCCTCAAACAGGAAGACAAGACAATGGCGAAGGACGCCCACCTGCCATCCTCCTATCTCACCATCCCCGCCGCCTGGCTGCCTGCAGCCTCTCAAGGCCAAACGCAGGCTGGTGGAAAAGCACCGAGCTGCACAAGCTACATGTTCCTCCTCCCCTACCCAAAACCCCAAATAAAAATCCCTACCCATTCCTCATCAGGGAGCTAGAAATTTTTGAGGCATGAGCCCTTGCTTTGCTCCCTGTGCCTGGCATAGTAAAACCTTTCCTCTTCCACTCAAGACTCTGTTCTCGTTATTTGGATTGGCATCGTGTTCAGAGACCGAACTTTCGGTTACAATGCCTGTTTTGTAAATAAAGTTTTATTAGAATAAAATCACACAATGAATCATTGTCTGTGTCTACTTTTACAGCCGTCGAGTTGAGTAGTTGCAACAGAGACTGCATAGCCTGCAAAGCCTAAAATGTTTACTGTCTGGCCCTTTACAGAAAACATTTTCTGAACCCTGCAACCCCGAGGGAGAGATTTCTGGTCTGATCGTTACAACCACAGTGTCCAGTTGGTTTTGGGAAGTAGAAGTAGTCTTACATGGGACTGATGAATGGGTGATTGTTCCAGAGCTAGGAATCGAATGCTTGTGTGCAATTATGTTTAGGTCGGCCTCTGTGCAAGAATATGAGCGCTCTCTAAACAAT